AAGATTACAATGATTTTAAATTATTACAATCATATTGAATGCAATCACAAAAAAAAAATATTGAATTGTAAATAAGGAAAATGAAGAATGGAACGTTTACCGAGAACGCGGATATATTAAAACTGTTGATTCAGTTCAATTACTTATTGCCAGACTAACAAAAGACTAAAGTAATATATTATTTTTACAAATGATTGCAATTTTAACATGCCAGCTGTATAACTATCGTTGTAGTTGAGTATCAAATTAAACAGCGTTAACTTAAGTCCACTGAAAGTAACACGATAGACAGTGGTATGAATCATAATGCCGCGTCTGGCTTGCATTACCAGATAACGTGAGATAACGAACTGCTACAAAGAACATTTCATGTTTTCTCTTTTTATCAACAAAAAAAGAAAAAATAAGACAAATTTCAATCGATAATCTTTTATCTTTGTTTATAACAAGAGAGAAAGAGAGAGAAAACCATTATATTTCCTACATTGAACGATAGTTATTAATAGTAAAAATATATGAGAAATAAACTTTTAACAATTGTTATCGCTTACGTTAGCGCAAGGTTCGAATTGCATTGGTTAGCAGAAACTTTCGCTATGCTATTGCATAGAAACTACCAATGATATCTCACGAAATTTAGTACTGTTTAGAAACGAACTTTAAAGGTACAAAGTCTGATTACTATTATTATCGGTTTTAACGATGTTAGTAGCCTATTATTTTCTTTGAAATGTTTGATAGTAAAGGATGAGAAATTGCGAGTGCAACAATAACGACAACTACACACACAGTGGACAGGAGGAAAGTAATCGTTCGGTCTAACGATGCATGACGTTCATCCGGTGGAAGGGTCGAGTTACTAGAGACTGGAAGAAGAATTAGAATCATAGAAGCTCGATGATCGATGATAAAAACACAGAAGAGATAGAATACAAAGAATTGAAAATAAAATAACACACGTACTCAAGAAAATTTCCCGATATCCAAAATTAGATCCACGAGAACAAGTACAGGGCCGCCGCTTTGGTGAATTTAGCCTTACGAATGTGCTTTAAAAATAGCCACCACTACCTCGCCAATCAAGTAATTACTTATGTCGACTGGGCTTGTTTCTCTTTTATATATTAGATACATTCTCGTGTTTTTCTCATTGGTTGAATTTATCGACCAATCAAAAATTCACTTTAGAAATGGCGCTACTTTTTAATTAATATCAAACTTCTTATCTTTCATGGAATTTGTTATTACTATATAATTCTTGTGTTGTTGTTGTTGTTATTGTTATTGTTGAGACAATAAGTAGGTTATAGGTATTTTTGTGCAACACACTTCACGATTTTTTATTCGTAAACATATTTTTTGTAGAAAACATTATTGAAATAATTGTGTCATGACGTGTGTTGTATAGCGAAGGTAAGTAAAATCAGTCGATAAAATCGATACTCTTTGTTGCAAAAGGTGAATTGTGAAACCGGGCTTCTCTCTCACTCTCTTTCTCTCTCTTTTGTCATGACCCGATTCTAGAAAGTACAAGCAACAAAAGCGAGGTCTCGAACTTTAAAAAAAATATAAAAAAATCATTGCCAACCGCTTGTTTTTATCGAACAACACTACTATAATTCTTTCGATACTAGTTTTTTTATCATCTAAGTAAACAAAAAATAAGAAAAGAAATATACAAGGATTTTTAAAAATAATGAAAGAATTGAAACAACATCAAGGATAACTGCACGATGACGAATAATTTCAGTGAAGTAACGGTAATCTTGGAGGTTGGCCTTTAAAGTACCGTAACGATTCCTACGTTTTCTCGTCCTCAGAGATTCAACGTCTATTGCCAACCTTGTAAGAATGCATTTAGAAAATAAATTTAAGGATAAGGTCAACTAGTAAACTACAAACTTTAATAGAGATAATTAAAACTAATATAGAATCTAATATTTCAAGGATTATCATTATGACAGCTATGGACACATACACACAAAACTATTACAAAGTTAAAATGCAGTAATGAAATCCTCTTAATGTTACTAGAAAGAATAGTTTTCAATAAACTAATATGAATGGATCGATGCATTGTGTGTTAAGGTACCATTAATTATAATAGTAAAATAATGGAAGGAAAATTTCCCAATAAAAACTTAAGATTTACCCACCATCGTTCTATCTATCTCTCTTTCTCTTTTTCAAAGTAATACTTATGACAATACTAATTAATTTCAAATAAAAAAAAAACCTCATTGAGTAAATAGGAAAATGTTGAATTATCAATTCAGTAGAAATACTGAATCATTCTTACTAATCATTAGTACACGATTATGTGAAGTAAATAACAAATAGTCACAATGTTCATTGATTATTAAAACTCACTAAACATGAAATTGTCGATGTTGAAACATACAATGAACCGATATAAAAATGTAAATATGAAAGTATATATAATAAAATAACAATAAAAATAATAAAAAGAAATGAGTAACACGCACCTATGTCAAACAGGTTCGAAGGACGAAGAAGAACTCACGAGTCTCGGTTAACGCGTTTGTCGGGAACGTTCGGGTTACCCCCTACTACTACTACCCTGCCAGTACTGCCAACCTAACTACACTAGCTACTACCATCATCCATATCTATCTTTCTCCTTCTCTCTCCCTCCTTCTTTTTACATGCGTGCACACGCGTGTGAGCACACAGCTAATGATCGATGAACGGTACGAAGTAAGATACGTGTGTAGGTACTGCTGCACGGCTGTTTACGGTCTTGCACGAAGCAACACACGCCAAGGCCGATTTGATTTTTTACAGGAAAAAAAAGACAAAGTAATAGAGAGAGAAAGAAAGAAAAAGAAAATACCACTCGAATAAATAAAAATATAAGTATATCGAGATAATCGAAATAAACGTGAGAGAAATGCGATCGAAATGTTTCTGTCACTCGAGATAATTTGCTTTCTTTTTATCCTCGTACCTAACTGAAGTATGTAACACTCGAAAGAGATCGAGATATATATGTATATGTATATATAGAAAAAGAGAAGGGTCTATAGATTACTATACATAAAGAGAGTATAGTAAGCAAACGCATTTGACGTAAGCCAAGCGTCGTCTCAACCCGATGATGACGACGACGCTTCGTTTCTCTTCGTGCTATTTCGTCTTGCCCCGCCTATCACCGAAGTCGATGAAATCTCCCCCCTTCACTCTCTCTCTCTCTCTCTTTTGCTCTTTTATAACGATAAAAAGTAAGCAAAGCCAGCGAGATGATGACGACGACTATGTGAGGGCGTTTCAAAGAATTTCTATTAAGTTGGTAACGGAATTTATAGAAAAAATATTTCCGAGAAAACACATGCTCGATTCCAATTACAATAATTTTTATACTGTAAACATTGCTTTTAAACAATAAAGATATGACAATGTAAAAGAATATTCTATCGATTCTTTTTTATTTCAATGAACGTATGATTATTTATTCTAAGAAAAGAGAGAGAGAGAAGGGGGAAAAGAAATTCATAGAAGTAAAACTACGTCAAGTATTGCGTGGGTGCATGAAACGCTTAAAGTTTAGCGTCCTTTTCTTCATCTTTTTCTCTCTCTCTTTTTCTCACACACACGCACACACAAATTCACATATTATTACTTGTTTTTTTTCTCTCTCTCTCTCTCTCTCACGAGTTTAACGCACTTTACCAATCGAGAAAACAAAAGATAGTGGCATCCAACGAGTAATCGAAACTATACATTCCGATAGTTTAATCGACGAAAGGCAGTCGTCGTTTTCGTATATCAATCGCGGTTTATTCGTTGATAAAATAAACGCGTGGTATATCTTAAAATTGATTCGAAGAAATAGAAACGAACGGAATAAAAATATTGGACGAAGTAAGGCAGGAAACATTGGATAAAGTGAAAAGAGAAGGAAATGGAGGAAAGCTCGATAATGGAAGCACGAATTTTTAACAAATCAAATAGAAGAAAATCGTTGGTAAACGTTTTTTTTTCTTCTACTTTACTAGGCGCCATCGTATAAGTTCGTTTGTTCCTTCTCTTTCAATATATATATACTCTTTTGGTATAAACGGGGAAGCATCGACAAGCCTCGAGAAAGTTCGTTCCTACCTTTACGACAATCTTCTAGCACGTTATGTCCCTGATGGAATTCACTCGACACGTTGAAAATTTAATAGTCACGACACCGACGCCTTTTAGTCCCTTAAACCGATCCGTTTCAGATCGGTCCTTCTTATAACTAAAGTAAAAGGAAATATATCGTTTAAGCGTCTACTTACGGCCGACGACGGTTGTTGTTTCTGAAGACTTTCGCAATCCGTCGGTCATACTCGGGCACTTCCGTACGATATGATTAATCAATTCAACATCTACAAACTAACTAACCTTAATCACTTTTTATCTTTTTCTATTATTTCTATCGAAATTATTTCAATTTTAAACATTATTTATTTTATTATTATTCATTTATTCTATTTTTGGATAATTTAAAAATAATTTTTATTACCTTTTAATAATATTTTCAACTTTAACTTGACTTCGTTGGTGATGATTTATACTGGACGGTAGTTTAGACATATCCTGAGACAAATAAACCTTTAACGAATACCTTTTTCTTTTTCTTTTTTATGTATTTCTAATTAGTTTGAATTTATCTTAATTCTTGTTTAATTTAAATTATTTTATTACATGAATTAATTCGATTGCATGAATTTTTTATGATCGTGATGTGTATTTCGTATTTCTATTGACTTCGGAGTACTTCGGCGTGTCTCTAGTTTCTTTAATATTATTCCCGATTTGTTTGAAATAAAAAATAAAAGTTCAAACGTAGTAAAATAAATGTAATATATCGTCGAGTGAATTTAAAAACGTTTACCTATGCTCATAATCGCGTACGATTGAAGAAACGAAAAAATTGTCGTGTCGGTAGAACAGTCGTATAACTAAAATAACGTCTCTCGGATACAAAGGGACTATTGTCACATTGCCGGTGCATTAGATCGTTTAGGCAACTGTCATTTTCCAAGTTCGGTACGCGGAGATAACTCTCTCTCTCGTTTTTTTTTAAATGTAAAACAACGGGACAATTTCTATTATAGATATTAAGAATACCTGTGATAAATCTACTCAGGTATGTTAGATTTTATTTATCGATTAATCCCCGACATTTATTTCTATAATTTTGAATAAATCTTCATGTTAATGTACTTTAACTTGGAGCAGAGTATACTGGTTTGTAATGTACGATTATTTTTATGATGTTAACTAATTATTTTCTAAGGTGATATACTTAGAAAATAATTTGGATTTTACTTAAGCAAATTTTCTTTTAAAAATCTCTTCAAATATCGTACAATCATTGTTCTGATATTTTGAAGCTGCACGAGCAATCGATATATCTCTTTTCGAGATATTTATAAATATTGTTTATATTATATACATACATTAATTTATATTAATTAATTTTTAAAAGGTTACTACTTTATCATTAAAATCATTAATTTATCTAATATAATAATTGGATGTTCTAATTTTCTTACATTTTTTATTGCAATAATTAAATTCATTAATGAGTGATATATATGACAATAAAGTAATATAAAACTTGGTTACTGTATCTTGTTCTTTGTAATTACCTTAACTGATTCATGAACTATCATAGTAACAAAGAATAATTAACCTTTGTGTTTAAATAGATGGATATTGTTTTTTTTTCTGTGTCTAAACATTTTTAGATTTATATTTAAATTTCTAAGTAATATATAAACTTATGGGATAATAAATTTGTTATTACAGAATGGCTCACAGTTCTCAAACTTATGGGTCTACGGACCAGCGGACTGATGTACCTGATGTAGGATTTAGTCCTACTGAGCTTTATAATCTCAGTGAAAATATAACCACTAATATATATACAATTAATACAAGCTGGAGAACTCTCGAACGTTCATACAAAAACATTGGAACAAACAAAGATAACACAGCTCTCAGGGATAAAGTGTAAGTATAACATTTCTAACATTACTATATCTTACATATTTGTATATATCATAATTCATAATTAATTATATGTGTTTTTTTAGACACGAAACGCAATACGTTACAAATCAAGTCGTAACTCAAACCAGCAAAGATATCGCAAGACTTACTGTATTAATGAGGCGAGGTGATAAACAACAAAAATTGCAAATTGAAAAGTTAACAACTGATTTTAAAGATGCATTGCAACGATATTCAGCTATGCAAATGGTACACAATATTTAAATATCTTTAACATATTAAATATCATGCTTGTACTATAACATTCCATTGTATTTAAATATCGTTATACAATTTGTAATTAATGTAATATACCTTGCAGTCGATTGCTGAGAAAATGAAGAATAATATTTTGACTACCAGTAATGTAGAAAATATTTCCGAAGGCGATGACGAAGGAGAAAGGCAAAGTTTGCTTCAAATTCAAGATGATGAACGCAGAGCAACACAAAGGTTTGAATATGATGTTTCTTTTTTTTTTCTTTTTCCTTTCTTGTCCTCTTCTTCTTATTTTAAAAATTATTTTAACTTTAAAACGCTCTATTTATTCGTACTTTTAGTTCACCGAATGTGAATTGTTTATTAAACCTATCGTTGTGTAGTGTTGTATCAAAAATTGTCGGCTCTGTAGGGATTATTTTTCTCAAATTTTTATACAGTAGTTCATAGTTTGTGGATTTTATAGCAGAAATATGAAAATAGATTAAATTTAAAATTTCAGTGAAAGATTAAGTAATTCCATCATGTATTATTTATATAAAGAGCAAGCTATAAAATGCACTTGAGTGTATGGTAAGTCATTTTTAAGGTATTTTCAGTATTCAATAATTTTGTACATTTAATTTAATCTTCAGGATATATATATGTAAAATCAATATCTTTTTCTTTCTTCCTTTAGAAGTCTTGAATTTCAACAAGGATTACTGCTGGAGAGAGAAGATAGGATAAAGTGCATTGAAGGTGATATATTGGATGTAAATCAAATTATGCGAGAACTTGCGGCATTGGCATATCAACAAGGAGATACTATTAGTATGTATTTTTTTGTTTCTTTAACCCTTTCGTTACTAGCAATCTATATAAGGTAGTAGTATCATGCAATGATACATTATTAATTTGTAAATATATTATTTTTCAGACACCGTTGATAACCATATAGAAAATATTTATGGCAATGTTGAGTTGGGAGCACAAGAATTAATTAAGGGAAGTAATTACCAAAGCAAGTTTCGCCGAAAAGTATATCTTTTCTTGTTACTTGCAATAATAGTCGCCATTGTAGTAATTATTATTCTAGTCACTAAATTAAGTTAGCGCTCCTAACTGATATAGGTGACAAGATTTTATCAAAAAGGGCTGTCTCAATCTATTCTTATTATTATTACTATTATAATATACGATTCTTAGAAATATCGCTATGTTGAAGTTGCTATTATTATTATTTTGGTATTTTATTATTATTATTATTATATTTTTGAATTCGAACTGGAAAGAGAATAGAGACTTGTTCCTTTTTTTTTTCTTTTTTTTTTTTTGTATATGCTCGTAAAAGATTTAATGTAAATTTTCTTAGTTTATTTTATTAGGTTCACAATATATTTGTTAATATCAAACGTTAAAAAAAGTTTATATATATATAAAAAATTTTTATTAAAAGTTGTGCTCTCAATGTATCGTTATTTTTCAAATTATTATTTTATTAATAGTAATATAATTAGATCATTAATCAAATCAAAGTTAACTGCTGGATCAATTAACATTTAGGGAGCATTAATTGTAAACAACAAAAAATAATAAACAAAAATCATTTAATATGAAAGCTTTGGAATAAGAATTAAGGTGGATAAATTTTAAAACAAACAACATATATAATTGTATTTTAAAGTATATATATATACTTTAAATTATTATATATATATATATATATAATAATTAATCATTTATGTAATTTTTTTGATAGTACTCATTATTCGTTCGTGCTTTGCCTGATCTTTATTATTTTATCGTGTTTATATTTTTTAATAATCTCGAAATATAAAGATAAGCATTGCGTGGCATTTCCGTTGCTAATTTTGCTGTTGCTGTTGCTGTTGCCGAAGGGTATTTTGATTATGCATGAATTTTATATATAAAGTAAAAGAAAAAAAGAAAAAAAATGTTAGCATTATTTTATGACTTCAAATTTTATAACTATTTGTATCCTTTGTTAATGGCAATAGATTAAAACAATTCTTTACATTGTTCTGAATTAATTTATATTATCTTTTCCTATATAATTTAATTATTATTATTTTATTGTTTTTAAATATTTTATTACTGCTTTTCTTTATTTTTTTTTTTTTTTTTTTAAACTCAATATACCACATAAAAAAATAATAAAAAGATCTTCTAAATATCTGACCTAATAGAAATATTTGTGATTGTTATTTTAGATGCAACTAACAATTTATATAATGGAAATTTTAAAAATATAAATATATGAAGTATTCATTGAATGAACATTCAAACACGTTCTCATAGTCTTGTTAATACATTTTCGTAAAAAATGATATCATATTTATAAGATTAATAGAAAAAGAAATAATAGCAAATTAATTATACAAATAATGATACATTGTTTATCATTAAAAGCTAATATGTAGCTTTTTTTTATATAATTTTTTGTGCCATTATATCGGACACAATAATAATAATAAACATATATATATATATATATATATATTTATATAATTGTTGTATGTGTACGTATACATATGTACATACATTTATTATATAATTGATATGCATAAAGATTACTAATCAAAAGTATTATATATTAATTTATATTCATATAAATTAATAAATCGTATTATTGATCATAATTGAAGAGAGCCATCATAGTTTAAATGCCATTTATTTGAATACTTACTTCATTCTATGCACGATTATAATAAGACTGTATAGTATGAAATATCTATACTGATGATTACTTAAAATATTTACATTAATTATTTAAAATTTGTCTATCTTAGTACCTATATATATTAATTTATCTTTATTTATATTATACTCACAACACACACATACACACATCTTTTATCTACCATTTTCTCGAGTTGTTGTTTGCATTGTTCTGTTAGAGTATTTGTTAATTGAGAATATAATTCAATTAGATTATTTTTACGTTTGCTGGTTTTGTACAGTGCTTGAGATATATATCAACACACACATACAATTATATATATTATATATATATATATAAATATATTTATATTCGGATCGCGTAACTCTCGTGATTTCTTTTCTTTTTTTTCATTTCGTGTTATACATTGAGAATACAAAAAAAATTTTGGATTTATTGACTGTTATGCATATTTGCCACATGTAAAGGCTATAACTGAATGACGAAATCAATTGAGATAGTCCCTTTTTGAAAATCCAACCCAATTTCATATATAATTATATTATAGGCATTCCACGATCCAAAAATCCAAGTAATTACATTATCATTAGGATTATAATCTACATATTGTACATAAAGATATTCATTAACATTCTAAATAAATAGCACTTTAACAGTGATAACATTTTATTGTTTATTCCCGCTCGAGATTTTCTTTTTATTCTAAAATCTTTACCAAGATTCTTACAATTTTTAAATTAAATTAAATGCCATAAAATTGTCATTGACTTCGATCAAAATTATATATTATTATTATGTAATTTGTTTACTTCATTACTTCTGTTTACAAATGAAAAATATGTGATTGAACAAGTACCGATGCAAATACAGGAACTTTTTTATTGGATTGTTAAAAAATAAACTAGAAACATGGTCAATGTCAATTTTAACTTTTTTCAATTAAAAAAACTAATTACGTTTGATCTATTCGTTTACGAATGAAGAGTATTCTTCTATTTTTTTTTTTTTAAGTGATATGTACATATAATATACATTTCAAGTAATTGATATTTAAAATTAGGTGTACTGAATGTATAAAACAGCATTTGATTGATATCATAATTACAATATGTTTATAAAAGTTACTAGAACGAATCTATTTATTTTTTGATATATATATATTTTTTTTTTATTTTTTAATTTCTACTATTCTCCAGTGCATTTAATGCTTGGCAAATATTCAAACGTTCTACGTTTTAATTTTATTTACTTGTTGAGATCTTCTTGCTTTTATCCTTGCTTGTAGAGTAAGTAAAAGGCCTGCTAGAACATCATGATTTGGTAATTTTTTAGCAAACAATAAACGTTTTACGGAATCATCATACGTTAATAGTGCGACCATATTTTGCAATAAAAATCCTTGACAATATTCTAAGAGTTGAGCTGCGTTATAAACCTGTAAATCATGAATTTTAATTAATGTTTCTGTTTTTAAACAATGTTAAAAATTATTAATAATACGTATACCTTCGCATGAATATACATAGAAACGATATTATCTAAATCGACCATTGCTGAGCATTGGGCTTCACAATATCTTAATAAACCATCAAGTTGAAAGAAGTTAGCAGCTGCCATTAGTTCTAAAACGTCGCTCTGATTGACTTCCAAAGTTGCACATCCTCCGTGATAAAGAAATTCCATGACCATCTAAAGTATTAACAGTTATGGATATTCATTGTAATGAATTCATTATAATTAAAATAATTGTGTTTGCTTACTTGAAAGATGTGATATCTGATATCATTGATTTGTACGATTGGTGGATTGCCTTCGCATAATTTAGAACTTAACATATTTCGAAATCTTGGTGACGATGTTACCAGAACAATTTTATGCCCATAAAAGACTCTTCCTTCGACTCTAAATTGTACGTCACTTAGTTCAGGATTATTGACAAATTTCGGATCTATTCTTGAACCACTTGAAAGTGTTGTATCTCTGATCGGTTTGATTGGCTCCCAACCAAAACATGTGCAAAATATATCAGCAAGAAGAAGCGTTGTACCTTCCTTCTATAAATATAATATAATTAGAATATTTTTAGTTTAATCGTTGATAATTAACTTTATAGATTTACCTTGCTGTAACGAAATATGTTAAATAAAAGTGGTAAACATTCCTGTACGAATTGGGTTGAATAATCATCAGGACAAACTTGTAGAAAATCTTGAAGCAATTGATCTATAACCGAATCTATTCTCATTTCATGTGCAGTTGCAAGACTGTGCATCCAACAATGCAAAGTCCATCCTACTTTCAACCCACGAAGTTCCATAGTTATGTCTACAACAATGAACAAATATGTTTATCGATAATGCGATTAAATTATTTACACTTAAACAAATAACATTTTAAGTTATTTTTACCTAAATGATTGCTTTCAGAACTGTGATACATTGCTTCTTGAAGTGCCTTCGTTTGTAACTTGTTAAACACCGGTTCTTTACCCTCTCTGTGACCATTTTTCCCATCGACAGTTTGTTGCTGAGGATTGGTACTCGCATTACCTTCCGCGAGTATTTCCTCCAAAGACAAGATTTCTTTTTCTCCACGTTTCGCTGAGAAATTTAATGGATGAGATAACAGCTGATGAAGGCAACTTCTTTGACCGTGTGCCGTTGCCACCGATACTGCGCTGTGATAAAAGCGCCATTTGTAGTTTTATCTCATAGCCAGTTGACACACATTTTTATGAGATATATCAAAAGTAATTTATAATCGATAATTTAGAAAGTTGTTACCTATAGCAACCACGTTGAGCCGAACCCGTGTAAGAAAATGAATCTTTTATCAAAGTAGACAAGAATGGTTGTGCACTGTGAGCTAAAAGCAAAGCTACCATCTCGTTGTTGCCGGATGCAGTAGCAGCTTGTAATGGTGTAACAGTACACTTATCTTCGCTGACTTTTGCACCACCTTCTACAGCTGCTCCTCTTTCCAACAACATTCTAGCAATATTACAATGACCTAACAATGCTGTATAAGTCAGGGCAGTCCAGTGTTGCGTTTCAGCATTGAATCCGGTCTGAACGTAATAGGCGTTATTCGAATTACTACAAGGAGAACCAATCGGTGACGAAGTTGAACCATTTTTATTGGTTGGTGTTGTCATCATCGACTGATTGACAGGACTTCTCACGATAGCAGTACTCGACGAGGTGGATGATACTTTCGATGGAGTGCTAGACGATTGACTAGTACTTGGAGGTGGACTCTCAATATTCAAATCTGCTCCAGCATCCAATAAAGCTGCCACAGCTTGCTCGTCTCCATTAATACAAGCCAACATCAATGCAGTAAAACCGCTATCGTTGACAGTGTTGATTTTCGTCGATGGTAACAATGGCATAGCCTGTGCTATGAGTTCTCCTCGACCACTGGTCAACATCTTGAAAGCCATGTCAGTTGTCAAAAGACGTACGTACTCGGAATCGTCGATACGTTTCGAGCAAACTGTAATTTCCTCAGAACTGAAATATTTTATGTTAAATAATATGAAGGATATTTTTTTAATTAAATACAAATATTTATATCTTCTTACCATATCGGTCTAACCGGACAATCAACGCCAGGTAAAAGTAATCTAGCAGCTTGATTAATGTCATCCTGATCGACGGCAAGAGCATGTCGATGCTCGGCGTGAGCTGCTGCTATACGTAACCACTCGATCAATGGTGGAAGAACGACATAAGCTCTTTCGTAAGCTAACTCTTGTATTCCCGAACCTCTCTCGCCATGTTCGAGCTGAAATGATAAATGATCATAGTCATAGTAATTCATTATTGTCACGATCAAATGATTTTGATAAGAAAAACATCGACGTACTTGGGAACACCTCATGTAATAGAACAAAGCATTCAAAGCTTTAGATGTTAAAGGTACTGGACATCTTCCAGACTGTGCTACCTTCGATATGAGCTCGATTAGTTCGGACATTGATCCAATACATGTTGTTAGAAAGGATGGTTCCAATGTGGATCCTATCGCTTCTTTACCACTTCGAGAAGATGATGAAGAATTCAGTGAACTCACGCTTGCCCAACGTGGCATTGCGAGAGCACCTAAAATAAAACAAATGATTAACTCGAATATGAAATAATAAAAATGTGAATACTGTCGTAACAATTTATTATACCAGAAGCAATACGTCCAGCATTAAGATGAGCATAAGGCTGTAGTAGACCCCACAAGTCACCACTGTTTGCTATTACATGTTCCAACATCGTAGCAGTTAGAGTAGTGTGTGGTTCTGTTGGCATACACTGCAACAAAATCTCTTCCAAGAGATTTTCGATACCTGCCGTTAGGTATACCGCAGCATACTCGTGCACCATTCTTCCAAGCCTAACGTCCGACATCCAACGGAGAAATCGACCAACAGGTAATTGCAGTCCCGAACGAGATGCCTTCGATTGCTTCAGCTGATCGCCGGACACAGCAAACATAGCAGCTGCTCGTAGACAAGCCTATGAAGAATGTGAGCTTTATGTTACACACGAAAGAAGAGTTATGATCAGTTTATTCTAAACTTCATCCAATATTTCATGGAAATAGTCGACACACCTATTAATATACTGGGTGAACCCAATGTAAATTGATCACACTTATATATTTAAATACGTTTATTACCTGATATTATCCTGAAAGCAATCTTGCGATCAGAAAGTGTTGCGAATTATTAAATATTGAATATTTTCATAGGTAGATAGAAAACTGATTGATACCTTCGTACAAGAATCTGCCAAGGCTGGACAAAGGACGATCTTAAATGCACTGTAGACTTCGTGTTTGCTACAAAGACCAATAGGCTTTGCCAATCGTTGAGTTTCACGACTGATTCTGACCAAAGCACGTTGTAACAAATAAGATAGTCTAGGAATGGTCTCCATTGAAACTTGTTCCATATGTTCCCTCGTACGACCATTCTGCAATACTCGTAATACATCATGATGAGTCCATGGTAATTGTTGCAACTCGACCAGTCTATTGTGAGAGTCGACCCAAACGAATTCATCAGCACTGGTAACGTTAGTGTTGATCGTTTCTAAACTACTATGTCTCATCAGTCTTCTAACTGCTGGCTCGGAACTCTCCGAACCACTCAACGACGAATAAGTCGAGGAAGACTTGTGGGAACGCATGGTTAGTTGCTGAATCGCTAATTTTATGTCCTCCAGACCAGAACCCGACCATGGTACCTGCAGCTGTAAAGAGGTCGTTGAACGTACGTAATACGAATCTCCCTAAAGGAAGAAGAGCATGCGAGTAGGGTATGTGCAAGGACCAATCGTATCGAACCACCAAAAATCATTTCAACTTTTTAGAAAATAAATTGTTCATTGAATCATTTTTCTTGTTTTCTTTTATAAATTAATGATTAAAAATGAGTGTATTAAATATTGAAAAGAAATAAAATAATTAATAAATGATATGAAAAACCTTAGCAGGGGTTGCACGATGTCTGTTACGATTCTGTCCGGATCTGCTTCTACCATTTCTTTGGGTAACCGAAGCTGACAATCTATCATCTTCCGGCACAGAGTTCAGTTGCTGAGGACTGTGCGACCTGTGATGACGATGAGGCGGAGAACTGCTGCTTGTATGACCACCGGTATCCGACATGCTTGCGTGCCCGGACGATCGATTCTCGTCGGAGGAGCTATTACCAGCGCATTCTGGTCGCCTCTACAAAAGTCGTTCGTCTTTTACAACCGACTGCCATGATTTGTGTTAGCCGTGGTTAACGTTCAACAATAACAACAACGAATAATATCCTGACAATATTTTTCTTCATTATATATAGAAGAAGAAGAAAAACAAATTAAATAACGATTATATTTTTAAGAATTTTTCTAATTTTAAACGATCGTAAAATAGTAAGGGGAGGGGGGAGGTAGAAAACGTATTATTAGTCTTATGTCATGTGTATTTCTTCTAAAATGATTTATTAGACGTTTATATTATCTACACGTTGAGAAAATCTAATGGATCTCTTATATCTCTTTGAACTTTTTTATGTTTTCATCTGTTAGAACGTTAGAATTTCTTATATATATAATTTCAAGAGAGAGAGAGAGAGAAATTATTTTAAGATAATATAGAGTTATCTGATAAAAATAGTAATAAATACCTGAAGTACTCTGAGCTCGTGCAAGCTGAGATGATGATGCTGAGAGGGATGAGGATGTTGAGGGGTCGGAGTAGGCGCAACGCTATCCGTGTCCCTTTCCGCAACCATATGAACCATATTGTGGACACCACTTTTCTGATTTTCTGTAAAATCCTTTGTGTATGGGGGACAATATACTTCACGTCCGCTACCACCACCAGGACTATAAAAAAAAAAAATTAAAATAAAATATAAATCAATATTAAAAATTTTTGTTACTAATAAACAATTTATTATTGTTAATCACATTGAATACTAAAAAATTGTTTTAGAAAACAAATGAAACAAATTGTAAAAGATTTTGTTCTCAGATCTGATGTTTTCTTTGTGAATATTGGAATTTTCAAGACACCCTGTATTAAGGAAAGTTCAGAATACGACGGAAGAAGGAGGAATATGCGGGCTCGTGGGATAACGGCGATAAATAATTGATATTTGATACCCCATGAAGGAGGACAGCTCGTTAATTACCGTCTGGACCCAGTCGACGATTCGTTTTTGGTTTTGCCTCGCATTAAATTTCTATCTTAAACAGGAAGAAAGAACAAGAAAGAAAAAGAGTTAAGGTTCACTAGGCATTGACAGGAATTAAAGGAATGTCTGTCTCTGTGTGTTTTTACTTTGGTTCTCATTTCAAATCTTTCACAAAATAAAATTCGAAAGTTAAAATAAAAAAAAAAAAATAATCAATGACAAATTTTTCATTTCTTTTGGTAAAAGATGACGTTTAAGATAAGCTCGAAAAGTATATATAATAATATAGTATATATATATTTTTTTTTAAATGATCGTTTAAAATGATAAACGTGTTTTTAATGATTTCTAATTTGTTTTTTTCTTTTTCTATTACTGGTTTTCATAAAATATGCACATTTGTTTCCTAGCGAGTTTCTAATCAGATTTCTTATCTATTTAACGATCGTAAGCGTAGGTGTGTAGCACTGGTTCGAATATAAAAAAAAAAAAATTACTTTCTCCGCGATGAGAAAAAAGTATAGTACCGTGCGATTATGCTCGAGTAGATGAGAGTTTTTAAAAAAAGAATGAACTAAGGTAAATGAACCGAAACTAAGAAATCGTGGGTAAACTCATGACTTGTTTTTTTTTTTCTTTCTTTTTGGTATAAATAATTCTTGAGAATAATAATTTCATTCACTAATAATTTCAAACAAAAAAAATTCACAAATTCTTTTGTTCAACGTTATCATTATTAATGAATGTTCAATTAAAACGGTGCACGATATTACGTAATAAGCATAATTCAAGTTGAAAATACGCATCATTAAGATTGACGTTTCATCTTCTTCCTCGGTATACTTCGTAGAACTCGAAATAAAGGATGAATTATGTTACGAACTAAAACATGTAATATAAAACAGAAGTAAAACTAATGCGATATCGTTTTCTAAGAATCTTGAAAATATCTCCTAATTGATTCGAGAAACGGTAAATTAAAAGAAATCGAAATACTTCGAATGCTGTTGATCTAACGATTACTATCAAACCTTTCTTCAACGTAAGACACATGAGTTATGTATATATATATATATATGTATATAGGGGGAATTCACGTAACGCTGGACATTTATAAATCTCAAAAAATAATTCAAAACAAGGTGAAAGTATTTGTTAATTTATAAAGGGTTCCATTATTATATTTTCGTGTTGATTATAATTTTGAATTAGGCTAATTCCCCCTATATCAGGGGTCGGCAACCTGCGGCTCGCGAGCTACATGCAGCTCTTTGGATGTGAAGCCGCGACTCTTTAGTTAAAAGAGTTTAGGAAAAAAAAGAAAAAAAACAAATTTAAAAATCGTTGTGAATCGATTAACGAAGATTAGGCACCGATGAATAAATAGATTAGTTTTTTCTTTTTATTTTTTTTTTTATCAAAAAGCTTTATTTATGCGAGTACTATTTATTGTTGGCAAGAACAAATTTTGTGGCTCTTAAAAACTGAAATTTTGTAAATTGTAATTTTTGGCTCTTCCGACTCAAAAGGTTGCCGACCCCTGCCCTATATATATATATATACTGAATACTTAACTATTCGTAAATGGAACGTTAAGATGATTGCAATGTTAACACGTGTCGTAATAATCTTCGTTACATTCTACTGATTTTCTATGGAAATAATTTATGCATCGTTAACTCTATCATTCAATGAAAAATACAATTATTCCATGTTTAATAATTAGGCGAAAAAAAGAGGGGTGGAGGGAGAGGTAGATAAACAAAAAAAAAAGAAAACTATGAAAAGAGAATTTCATGCATGTAAGAATATTTCACTGAAACAAGATTACACCGAGAAGAAACGATTTGTCTTGAACTCGATCGTGATTTACCCCCTAAGGCGCCATTGCTGAACGAAACTCCAGTCAGCCTTGAACCCAGTGGTGTCCCCGGGCAAGGACCAATAATCCTCGATCTGGCTTTCGTCCTCCTCAATCCTTAATACGTCTTCTCTGGTTGGAGTGACATTTACTACGATCTCATGACTATTATTTATCCGACTATCATCTATCATTGAATTTTCATTTATTTCGAGATTATTTCTAGAAGAAATGATCTCATCTTTGCGATCAATCTTATCTTTTTCCCTTTGACTGGTGTCACCAAAATAAATCACCGTTTTGTGAGGAACATCAATGGTTCTAGTTGATTTTGATGATACACCGATGATAATTTCATTCCTGTCGAATTTTCTACAACGTGTTTTATCCTCCAACGTTGTGGTCTTTTCATACTCGCTAGTTTCATCCCATTCCCTCGTAGATTCATGGGAATTAATGAACGTCGTAACTGGACGACGTAAAATAAAATTACCAGTGTCTATCATTGACTGTTGAACTTCAATCGTAGTACTCATCTCGTAGTCTTTCAATTCACGACAAAGTAGACAAGTACAATCCTTGTTTGAACACTGTCCTCTTCTTGAATACGAGGAAGTGGACGAGTAAGACAAAGATGATGATGGTCTCATGTCATTTTTTTCCTTTTATCAAATTTAATCGCACTAACATAAAATAGAAACTCATTTAAATTAGCATCATTCTCATGGTTAAACTCGTTTGTTTCTTTTTATTTTGATATTTTTCAAATCACTTTTATCCTTCGTTATTCGAATCGAAGATTTTATCAAAACCCCCAACGTCACCCCGACGACACTGGCAAGGTCTGCAAGAAATAAAAGGAAGGTAACCGTCTTTTAACGAGCACCTTGTGCTTTTCCTATTTTCTAGAAAAAAAAAAGCAAAGAGAATCAGTGAGATTCTAGCTCGTTAGAACCTCCAAACGAAAAAGGGGTGAAAGAAGGTTCTCTTCTTCTTCTTCTTCTTCTTCTTCGATAGGATCGTTCGAGGAGTAGCAAACTCGCGTTATCCGAGTCATCGGTTCGGTTTCGATGTAAACAGATGACTGAGCAGACTCGACGTGGAGGCTTCCTGTGTGCATCAACAGGTGAAACGCGTGCACTTCCTTCGGTGAGACGACCACAGGTACACCTCTCTTTCTCTTTTTCTTTCTTTCTTTCTTTCTTTCACGTCACTGATACTCTTCTCTTTCTTCCCTTTCTTTCTTCCTTTCTTCATTCACGTGATGTACGTCACACCGTTTGATATTATTCGTGGGAATATAAATTCTCATGTTTTTTTTCTTAGAAAATAATTAGTATACAAATGAAATTAATAAACATAATTTATATGATACATTAATAGTCATCAATATCGATTTTCACAAAGCGTTTTTATAATGATCGTGTGTTTCTATTTTGTGGTTTATATTTTATTTTCAATCTTTTTGTTTTCTCTTCGTTCAGTTTCACGTTCCCTTCGATTTATCTCTCCTATCTTTCTCTCGATTCTCTAAGAAGACTTCTCCCCCGAAAAAACAATAAGAAAAGAAATGACTCTGTAGAAAGAGGTAAGGAAAAGAGTCACGTGAAACGTGACTTCGATCCTCCTTTCAGAGTTCGTGCCTTGTTTTCACGATAATCTCTATCTCTTCTTGATACTTGTATATCCCTTTTTAGAGTTAAAGTTTATATAAAACACACATATACACAATCAGAGACACAGATAGATAGACAGACAATCTGTGAAGAAGTTAAGTATACCAATCTATGACTAAGTTTACTCTCTCTCTGTACGAAAATCCGAGCAACTAACTTGAGGTCGCTACTTGCAAACTGTTATATCAACTTAGTAGTATATAACTTGACTATAGAAACTGCTTTTACAAATAGGAAGGGAGAGAAAGAGATAAAAGAAAGAGAATGGTACCCAACCATGCGATTTAGGGGAGAACTTCCGGTGACCATCCTACTTCCTTGCTTCTGCTTTACTTACGAATCACAACGCCTTCCTCTCTCCTCCACCGTTTGCATGATCGCCATCCGTGACGATCTTATGTCCAACCTTTTTTATTTCCCTTTTTTTTTTCTTTTTACTTTACTCTTTCCATTGTCGTCATTACGTTTTCTTTCTTAACCGAGCAAAACACCCCTCTGTCTATTCTCCTTCCTGTGGGTTTATGGTCAAGTATTGTTTGAACGTTTCTATGGATTTTAAAGTTGTTTAAAAACTTATTTCAATTTTTTTTTTTTTTTAATATCTTACATTATTTAGTTTTTGTTTTGATTATTATCTACCCTAAATTTGTATTGCATTGAGGTCTGAAATTGAGATAAGTTTAACAACGTTTAGGATACAAAATAATGAAATTATTAGTTAGAAAAGTAAAAAAAAAAAAAAAATTCAGAATATATTTGTTTTGAAACCTTTCGAAAAACTATGTACTTTTGAGATTACAATTTTGTATTTTATAGTTGCTAAAGAAGTCCAAAATGGAAGTACGAAATGTACAACAGGAATCAAAAGAAATACGTTTTGATTATATTTTTACCTATGATACAAAGTTTTTAAATATATTTAAACATTTAAGTTGTTTATATATTAAACAATGAATATTTCTTTGTTTTGAACTAGAGAACATTTGAAAGTAACTTTATATACGTACGCGTATTAAGATTAATACTTTTTCCTCTATGATTTGGCCTATTTTCAATACTAAACCGGTATTAAATTGATCTCGTATAAGAAACTATTTTACTCTATGACGTTTAAAAGTACACCGTCAGGTAAAACCAGTCATAGCGTGTATCTATACCTACCTACCTAATCTTCCTTTTAATATGTTCCTTTTACAAGTGCCGGTTGGCCGACATTTTTCAAACAGAATATCGATACTTGACGCAATCTCTCCACTTTTCTATCTATCTATCTATCTCTCTCTCTCTTTCACTCAAGCATGATCCGCTTTATAACAGTGTTTCAAATACCTCGTAGATCTTGGATCGTTTCTTTGGTATAGCGGTGCTTAATTGAAAGTTCCAAGAGCATAGGATGAAAATTCTACTCATCGGGGTGCAGCTGTTCCAATTTTCTTTTCTTTTATATTTTTGTTTTTTTTTTGAGATTTTTTTTTTCTCGTCCTAGTTATTTTTAATCCTTGGAAATCATAGATAGAGAGAAATGACTATAATTAATTGATGATTGATAGGAAAGTGTCTATATTTATCTCGATCGATTATAAGTTCAGAAAAATAAGAATAATTGAAAGAAACTGTTAACCTGTTATGTCTGTTTATGTGTGTATGTGTATACTTATGGTGTACTCCATTTGCCTCGCCTTTTATGAGAAAGGCTTTTGGAAGAAGACTTCAAGGCAGACATTGTCCGTGTTCACTTAGGCGAAACTCCGGTGTCAAGGGCGACAACGCTTTACAGCAAAGACATTAAATTGATTAACGAGCCGTGATCTTTACGGTAATGAAAACGACAATATAATCGAAAGTTTCTTTTCTTTTCTTTTCTATTTTTTCTTTTTACAATGTCCGATCATTAACAAATTTTCCATTTGAATAGTATCGTAAAATAAATAATGTTAGTTCTCATTCATTTGAAATTAGATAACAGTGTTTTTAATTTGAATTCATTGAACTGAAGATGTTATTCTCTTGAAAACAAAAAAAAAAAAAATACAAATTAATTGAAAGATAACATGGCCGTGACCTAGGAAGATTAAAAAGTTTGATATCAAAGATTGGTAAGAGAAAAAAAAAATAAAAACGATGAAAAGAAGAAAGGGGAGCATCTTTTCACTTTGTACCGAGTTATCTTTTCTTTTACATTCCCATGCTAATTAACAATGTATTTTTTTTTTAATTGTTCATAGCCAGCTTTTACTTCTCACATATAAAATATTCATGAAAAAGAAACTAAATGTATTATCGTAGAAATTCTCTAATCGAACAATAAAATATAAAAAAAAATAGATAAGAACAGAAAAAACGATGATGATAATCATAATGAAGTTTATATAACAATAGTAAGTATTTTTGATGATATAAATTACAGAATAAAATTACTAATACAAAATTAAAGAAGGAAAATTTTTTAGGTTAGTTTTAGTTAATTGAAATTAAAATAATTATAAATTGGATAAAGAAGAGAAAGAGAGATAGAGAAAGAGAGGAAGATTGAACACGTCACGTCCCTGACCTACCGATGATTTAACGTGTGCAGATCGGTGCTAGTAAAAGCCAGTTTAAGATCGATGTAGTGGTATGAAGGAAAGGAGGAAAGAAAGGACGATTCCTTTAGGCCATTAACCTAAATATCTTAGAGCTTGTGTGTAGTTGCCTAGCCATCATCATCATCATCATCATCATCATCATCATCATCATCATCATCATCATCATCATCATCATCATCATCATCATNTCATCATCATCATCATCATCATCATCATCATCATCATCATCATCATCATCATCATCATCATCATCATCATTATCATCATCTTCTTCTTCTTGTTCTTATTCCTCCACTTCTTCTTCTTCTTCCTCCACTTCTTCTTTTTCTTCTTCTTCTTCTTCTTCTTCTCATACATACACACATACACAAAGAGACAAACAGGCGCCATTATCTCGATCGTTTCGTTCTCAGATAACCTTCCGACTTTTTCCTCGAACATTTCCCACTTTCGGATAAACCAATTAAATACAAAACTAAAACTAAAACTCTCGTTTCGCACGATACAGCTAATTCTTTCTCTCCTAACAATCATCATAGACTAATTTCTATTTCATCCTAATTCACCCTCACACAAGTCAGGTTATTCCTTATAACGAACAACTTTATATTCTTTCTCTTTCTTTCTTTCTCTTTCTCTTTTTTACCTATCCTTTCTTTCGAACGTTCACACGATCTCCAAGAGAAAACGAATTCCATACTATCGGAAGAACTCGAAGGGAACTTTGACTACCTTCGTGAGAATTTATTCTTTCATTGTAATCCCTTTCAAATTAATCTTTTCTATTCTTGTCTTTTTTTTTTTTTTTTTTTTAAAGGAAAATGAAATATTCCACGTAAACGATTGGTTATTCAATCAGTTACCTGTGATCGACAAGTATACTCGTCATGACTCGATTCTGGCGACATTCGAACGAGAATGCCACACAGTTAACTCTGATCGACAAGAAATCTAATATAAAAGGTAAAAAACCCTTTCGTCTCTCAGATTCTTTTACATTAATAATTTATTAACAATAATTCGACAATTTATTTTTCTACCAATCGACATAAATTTTCAACTTGAGTTACTTTTTATCATCCCCCAGTTTGGGTCTTTGGAATAGAAATATAAATGTTTCATAGGAAGACAATTTGATGCGAATTTAAAATGCGAATGAAGGAACCTTGGAAAAAACAAAAATTGTATCCCGAATGATGGAACCCGTCGTTAAGGATGAGAGTATTAAAAGGAATGCGCAAACGTAATCTTCGACGTAGAAAACGTTTGATAATCGTGAAAGGTGGTCTTGCTCGAAGACTAAGAAACCTGACGTCTTTCTTATAAGCCGCTTTTAAAAGGCCAACGAGGAGGATTCTTTTGACTTTTAATATCATTTTCTACTTACATTTACAAACTTTATGAAAATTTGTATCAATGTTTATTATAATCAGACTACCTTCATTTTAATATCAAAATGTGAAATTAGGTAATCGATGACAAACACTTACCGTCTTGGTTTTGGCCTAAGTATCTCGTGACCGGAATCCGATATGCAGATACTTAAACTCAATGGTCCACCATAATGTTCAGGAGGTGTTGCATTGGTTGGAACGTTTTGTTGTTGGGGAGCTGATATTCCACCAGATCCAGAAGTACCGGTCAAAAATAAAGGTTGCTGAGTGCAACCATCTATCTTTTGATGTTCCAGATTCATCCTGCATCCGGGTCCTTTTACTCGTCGTCTCTAAGGACCTGCACATTTTAAAAAAATAACATATCACATTTTTATTTCATTTATCATCATAACTAGGTCAGTTTTTGAAGATAATAAAAGTATTATCAAAGAAAGGAAAAGTCAATTCCCATATCAAAAATTCATCTTTAACTATCAGCAAGTTAAAACTTCCGAGACTAATGAATATCTTTGGAAGGAAAGTAATTAACTGTAATACTTTCTCGAAGGTCATTAACGACCCTGTTCCACGGATAATTACCGGTGTAATTAACACCAATGTACCACCTCTAACTTTGCCACCGAGGGAAATAATTGCTCAACTGATATTCCCTTTTCTGTTTCTAACAACTTATTCCACGTTAATTGAATTCTTTTAATTTATTTATTTTTTTTTTTTAATCTAAATATATCGTACAAATTGTATCGTTCTAATGAAAGAGAAAAAAACATTCTAATTAATAATTTCTAAAGGAATGTCACGATTTACTATCATAGTCATTATTTTAATTAAATCTCGGAATGTAATTTGCTGTTAATTGCAAGGAATTCTTGGACTTTTCATTTTTAATATCGTAATATGTTTCAAGTATTTAATAAAAAAAGATGATAATCATATATTACACGTACACACCTAAATCAAACGGTAACAGAAAATAAAACAAACATAAAAGGAATCTATAATTTGTTAGAAATCTTTTACCTAAAAAAAAAAAAAAAATGATTACAACGCAAAAGTTAAAGGTAAAAAGAAAATAGTTGAAGTAACGTTTCTTTAAAGGGTGTAAAAAACAATCGAATAATTTACGATTGGACAGGTAGGACTCGTTTGTTGGTTCGTTGGTTCGGTCGATCACAGGGAATCGTTTGGCCGATGCGCGTGGGTGTTGGCCACAACTCGAAGGACGATTTTTGCATCGTCGAAAGAAGGAAGAGTGGAGAAGAGGACACACGTTGCAAGAGCCGCTGAACTTGGAACAACGAAAGCGTTGACCGCAACGGTATTTCGAGCATCTTTTCAAATACAACCAAATAAAACGACTATGCATTTGTATTCGTATACGACTTAAGTGTATATAGGGTGTTCCACAAAAAAAATCATTCAATATTTATATGGTATATAGGATACATGAGTAAAAAAAGTTTTAGTAAATCTATGTTAAAAAATTGTTTCTAAAATACAATCCTATAATCATTTTTATTTGCTAGTATCATGATTGACATACTTGCATCAATTGCATGCAATATCTAAATGCAATTTACTAACATAAAACGTTTTTATTCAGTGCAGGGTATTTTATATCATATAAATGTTGAATGGTGTTTTTTGAACACCCTGTGTATAAGAACTAGTGTATAAGAAATATTGTAATATAAGTAGAATGTATTAGAGTAATAAAATAAATGTTAATTGGTATCTAAAAGCTTGGAATTATTGATCGAAGTATCGTCCTCTTCGAAATTCACCTTCAGACTGACGGGTTGTCCTTTATCAAAATTCTTTCATTACATCTTGTCTATATGACTTTCATAACATTGCGCATGTGTACAACGGTAATAATAATTCTAATAAAGAGTATTTAACATTATAACGTTCTGATTTTAACATTTTTTGTATTCTAATGTAATTTTTTTATTAAATGTAGGAAACAGGGTGAGGACATTACGTAGTTCATATATTCCGAACTTTTAAACACTTGCATCGATTAATTAACAATTATTAATGCATTCTATATACTCATATTAGAATAATTATTATACACGAGTTATATATAGGGTTTTCATAAAAAAAAAAATATTAAATTATTTAATTCGAATGTTAAAAAAGCTTTCTCTTCCTACACCTCCGCCCACCATTTCCCGAGAAACTCGATCATCCTGATAATTCGTATAATTTGTATACAACATTTAATATCTTTATCTTATCAAGAAATATATAATAGTAGCCTCTTTTGAATGTTAATTACATATTAAATAATAATACTCGTACGTAAAAAAAAAAAAATAAATCAAACAAAACCTCTTCTTCCTCATTTTTAAATACATAACCCGCATGCACATGCACACATATTCACACATGCATATGTATGTGCAAGCTTTGACTGCAGTCCTTTGCTCGGAATTTTGTTAAATTGCATCGTTTTACTTGTTGCGGAGTCCCCTTTTCTGCCTCCTTCTACCCCTTCCCCTAAAAAAATAATAAAAATAAAAATAAAAGTTTAGAGTTTGGGCCGAACCGTTTGGTGTACGAACGTACCGAGAAATATTTCAACGTGTTCTGGTTCTCGCTCATATATACGAGAAGGAAGAGAGGAAGGACTCTCTTCTTCTCTTTCTCCCTCTCCCTTTCCCTTACCCTTTCTCATTCTCTCTCTTTCTCTCTCTCTCTCTCTCTCTCGTTCTACGCGTACACCGTGTTTGTGCATCGCTCGTGTTGCTCGCTTTGACGGGCTCTCGTATGCAATTATTCTGCCTGGCTTCCAAAGTGCTTCCTTAAGCGTTCGGTTCTCTCCCTCATTCCCCTACCCCATCCCATCCCACCCCAATCTCCACCTCTTCATACTCATCCTCCTACTCTTTCTTCTTCTTCTCATCCTCACCCCCAATACCCACCACAAGCTCCTTCTCATTCTGCCGGTTCGCAAAGTGGAAGATCCTGCTACTTTGTACGATCCACTTTTCGCAGAATTTTTTAGCGAGATAGCCTTCGACGAATCTCATATCCAAGTCGTTCTCATCATCATCATCATCATCATTATCATCATCATCATCATCATTATCATCATGATCATCATGATCATGATCGTTCTCCTTAATGTGCAATTTGTCGATCAAATTTTTCCCACCATTTTATCAGAATTATTCGTCTTCTTAGATCATAGTTATCAATCTTTTCATTGTGATTTCTTTTTTAAAGAATTAAATTTTTAGTTTGATTAATAAAAAAACTATAAAAAGAGTATACTGTATTTCATTCCCGTTTGATTTTTGGTAAGACAAACGACGACAATTCACGCATAGTTACTTTTATCGATGATGCATGCATCAACGTACCAACAACCAACATTGCATCTTGCGAGGACATTAGCGTGAATCAGGTTTTTCGGGTTTCTCGCCAATGATTTTAGTATATTCGATTTATACGATTTAGAGATAATAATTTTGAACGAATAATATATAATCATTCTATTGAGAATTAATTTATTTAAAAAATAACTTTGACTCTATGGAATATTCCAAAATGAAGGTGTATCGAATATAATAAAATTCTCTGTTATAAATAAAACTTATCGATATGAAACCTACTAAGTAGTTTCTACTAGTAGTTACCTACTAAGTAGTAGCAAAGTATTAATAGGTGTACATCTTTGTTTCTATAAGCCATCTGTAGGAAAATAGCGGAAACAGAGAAGAGAAGGGATGGTTTTGGAGTAGAGAAAAGAAACGTATTTGTTTAGGTTGATTTGTTTGATCGATTAAAAAAAAATTCTTAGCCGATCGAATGAAAAAATAAAAAAGGTAGAAGAAGAAGAAGAAGAAGAAGAAGAAGAAGAAGAAGAAGAAGAAGAAGAAGAAGAAGAAGAAGAAGAAGAAAAAGGGCGAGNAGAAGAAGAAGAAGAAGAAGAAGAAGAAGAAGAAGAAGAAGAAGAAGAAGAAGAAGAAGAAGAAGAAGAAGAAAAAGGGCGAGAAGCTTAATAACGGCGAACGATCGAAAAGACTGAACTATGCCTGAGGGCAATTCTGGAAGCACGGTAAAATCGTTTAAGCGGACCGAGTGCACACGGAAATTCGGGTTTGGGTAACTGGTTTACTATACGAGGTCTTTGAAACTGGTTTAATGTAAACGGACTCGCCAAAAATGGCGTTGTCCCGACTGTATTTAACTGACCTCGGCTGCCCTCACCCTACGTCTGCCTTTCTAACCGATCAAGTGGCATGCATGCACACGTATGCATGATCCTATCATGAAACGTATAACTATGACTATTTAAATCAACCTACATATTATAACTAACTGTACAAATTATCATCTCTTTCTGTATGTGTGTCAAAGAACCAAAAAAAAAAAAAAAACCTAGCAAGAGAACAACGTTAATTGCACACACAGTGAAGTTAAATTAAAAGTAATTAAACCAACAAAAATAAAAAGTATCATCGAATGCATATAATGCTGCGTTGCATCCAGTTTTGTCGAACGAGTTAAAAATAAAAAATAAAAAGAAATAAAGTGGAAAAGGATTATTGATCGAGAAGATCGATACAAGGATCAATTAAGAAGCTCGGTTTTCGGATAAAGAAAGAGAGATGATCTGTAGACATTGAGGGGGGTCTGACTGAGTAAAAGGAAAGATCCTACCAGTCATATCGCTTAGGATCCCATAAAGAGTGAAACCGGAGACAAGTGCATGGGGGCTGCTGCTATCGAAGCGACTCTTTCAACGCAAGATTCGAGAGCTGGTATTACAAGCGAGACGTGTTCCACTTCGTATCAACGTTTCGTTGGTTTCTTATTTCTTCTTCTTCTTCTTATTATTATTATTATTATTATACCCAAGTACAGATAAGTCTACATACACACACACGCACACACACATGTACGCATACTCTTTAACCTACATTTTTTTTCATATTTATATAAAAGTGTAAGAAAAAAAGAAAAAAAAAACAAAGAACGTTAACATCAAGAGGATGTTTAAATTATTCTCTTATTTCAATACATTTTTGTACATCCTAGCAATTGCAACTGCATAAGCTGAGAAGTCATTTTAAAGTGCATCAGACAAAAAATAAAGGAAGAAAATCATAAGCAAGTTTCCTGACTGTGAGAGGCCTCTTCTGTTCATGTGTGTGTGTTTGTGTGTGTGTGTGTTTCTGATGAGGATAGATTGGTATAGCTATATTTCGAAAGTCACGTGCTGCGTTGAGGAAGGTTTGGGACCACAGAGTGCAAGCAACATCAGCAACAGCAACAACCAGGAGTGGTACGACCACTCTTTTATCCTTTTTTCTCTCATTTCTTCTCTTAACTTGTCTATCCCGCTAAGATTTTATCTTTTATTTTTCATATCTTTCTACTTAGCAAGGAAAAAAGAAAGATAGAGAGAAATGATCGATAAAAATCATAAATAAAATAGATCTCGATCCAACAACAAAATTACAATCATTCAAATTGATATCCAATAATTACAGAAACTTGTAACAAAACAAGAAAACCTAAAAGAACAAACGATTAGAATCCTGACAAATATGTTGGGGTGTAATAAGCAATTCTGATCAAGTCATGAATCAGCAGTTCGATCTCTAACTATGATAACTAACCATTAACAGAGATTACAAGATAGAACGGAAGTTCTGCAGGAGTGGTAAATTTAATTGATCAATGATTTACTAAACCACAAATTATATATCGATGCAAAAAGAATGGCAATAACAATTATAAAAATTCATCTCATCACGTTGTTGATAATGTTTTGTATTACAAGGTACATTCGTAAAGCGTCGAAAGTTGGCGTAGGTGGTGTTAGGATTAAAAGGGTACTCTCGTGTAAAACTTTTGTGTGGGTGTAAAGAAAAATATGAGCCTTGCCAGGGCACGGAATATTCTCGACACGGTTCTGGAAGCAAGTACTGCATACATACGCAACAGTCGTCGTCGTCGTTGTCCACCAGTGCTATTGCTTTTTACACGTGAACAAGTTGGAAGTAAAGTGTGATGTAAAGTGTACACGTATTGGTATATAAATGTATAGATATGTGTGTGTGTGCGTATTGCAAGTGAATATAAACGTACACATACATATGCACATTGGTGTCTCATGGTGCACGCCGTCAGGCCCGCGGCCACTACATTCCAAGGGCTGCCCAAACTAAACCTTACATCTTTTATATACTCAATCCCCCTAAAAAGCCCACTTCTTTCTTCTTTTCTTTCTTCCACAATCAGGTCCCAACCTAGTCCATCTTTCTTTTCCTTTCTTTGATTTTTGTAAAATACTTTTTGTGCCTACTCTCTCCCCTCCAACAACTTGGTCTCACTTTGAAAGACTCCTCGTCCCTTTCTACCCACTAAAGAAACGTGGTAGCTCTCTACACAAGTACCTTTCTACTTGTAATATCATTTCAACGAAACCTACCTAACCTTAGGATTCATCTACCTAATTTTTCTTCAATAATATCTTCATCCTTTTGGATGCTTGAAATTGAAACGATTCTACTTTCTTAGGTCTATTCTACTAACTTAGGGTTAGTGATTTGTTTTTGTTTGGGTTGATATTACCTAAATTCATTAGAGTGTTTTTGAGTGTTTTGATAATGATGATCATGATGATGAGATACTATAGGGTTAGATCTATCCGTGTAGGTGGATTAAACTCGAATGAATTCCTCCTGGCGTTGTAATCAATTTGACTAATTTAATTTAAGTATAAAACCGGTTTAGTTGGGCCATTTCTCACATTCGTTCACCAGCCACGTTTGGACCCGTACCCTTCTTCTCCTATAGATTTTAACGTTCGTGTCGCTTAATCGTTGGGACCTTCGAGATAATTTCAATGCAAATCAAATACAAAACGTGAGATCCTTTAAGCGATTGCTATCGGTCTTTTAAGAACGTTTCGATTATTTTTCTTTTTTACTTTTTTGTTACATTGACTTTTAAACTCTAAAATCTCAGATTCTAAACTGTTAACGATTATTTGTCATACCCTTGTTAATTATGAATTCCTCAACCTCCCTGATTACCTACTTTTTAAAACCATTTGTTACATTAAAATCAGATTATCTTCAAATTATTATCTAATAAAATATAAGATCAATTTGAAATTTGAAACAAATACAGGACAATGTTAAAAAAGAAAATGGTATTATACATAAATTATAAAATAAAATGAATGTTGTGTGTTTCTAAATATCTGACTTGAAAATTGCAATGGCATTAAAGAGAGGTGAGATAAAAAAAAAGAAAAAAAAAACAAGAAATTGAAATTGTTGAATGTTCAATTCACAGAGAAACTAACGGTAAATGATATTTGTACGAAATGATCTTAACTGCTAAGGAAGAGATGTGCATTTTCTCTTGCAATCCTCGAAGTCGATAAGAGGAGGAGGAGGAGGACAATAATGCATCCTTGCATGTCGTCTTTGTCGTCGTCTTCGTTGTCGTCGTTGAACGAGCGAAAGTCTCTCAGAAGAAGAATCGCTGTGTTAGAGTGAGTACTTTTCTGAGTTCTATCTTTCTTTCTCATTCTTTATTTCTTTCTCTTTCTATCTACTGCTAACCGGTTAGCAGTAAATCCTTTAGGACGATCCAAATCGTTCCAATCCTCGGATTCGTGTTGTCGAATAAAATCAAATCAAATAGTCCGAATTCTCCAATGACAAAAAAAAAACAAAACAAAATATTTCATTCTGAAAACAATTAGGTACATTATTTTTCCAATTAATTTTATTATATGAAAATAAATTTATATGACTCTATTCGACCTTCGTTTGACTTGCAACACGATCCAAGAAATTTATGGTATATAATTTGTAAGAAAATTATTTGGAAAAATAAATGAAAAAATGTTTATGCGAATTCTTCAAGAAATTTATAGTTTTTTCAATGAAACAGGGAAATAAAAAATGTTTACTTGGAATGCATTCAAACGAGTTGATATGTGCGTATTTCTATGCACGTTCTCTTCCTTGGTGCACAAAAAAACAACTGTGAATGTTTTTTTCTTTTTTTCTTTTTTAAATAAAAGGAATGATAATTGAATTTTGATTAAAAACTTACCAGAGCAGTATCGACGAAAACGATGGATGAAAATGAACCCTAGGACATGTCGGAATCCTTGTTAGATCTAAAAGACACATTCACGTTAAGAGTAAAATCCACATTGACGAGCCACGTCGTAGATCCTTTCTTCGATCTTTCATTTCACACTCGCATAGTTTCAACGACACGTTTTTATAGTATTTTTTTTTTTTTTGTTAAATCATTACAGTGACACAGTTCAACATTTATGAGTCCTTCTTCTTCTTCTTGCAAAACTTGTGTCACACTGTTAAACTTATTTTCTGAAAAATAATCACACGTGTTGTCATCATCACTAAATTGAATTATATAATTTGTAATGCACGTTAATTATAAAATAGTCCATCATTAAATTGAAAAAAAGTTAAACGAACAAAAGGCAGGTGTATACAAATAATCAAAAATTTGTTTTTTTTTTAAATTGAACTGGAAAATACTTTGTCTTGATTGTTTAAAATTTTGAAATATATTATTTGTATTATACTATTTGATTGTACTACCGCGCAAGTACTATTCTTTAAACGCGTCCAATCGTGTCGCTTCTTTTTCGGCAGCTGTCAATTACTGGGAACAGAGAGGCACCGCGCGTCTTTACAGCATCCCAGGCGGAATCGCTTTCGGTCCAGACTGATTGTAAGTAAAGAGAAGGGGGGAAAAAAGAAGAAGAACTACAAAAAATAGTTATGGTCAACCGAAAGACAAATGTTGATGCAGACTGTGGCGTCATCGAACATTGCAACGGGAAATTCGTAAAACTTCTTACCAAACAGGAATTGATATTATCGACTGCAGATCGATAATAAAAAAACACGACGTTACCTACAAATCGTGAGATACAGACTATTTTTAACAATTGTTTGAATATATATGTATAAAATTTAAACGACTATTAATTTAATTAATATTAATTCGAATTGATTTGAATATTAAAGATTTTCGATACAATCGAGAGTTTTATTTGAAGAGTAAATGAAAGAATTTAAATTCTCGCGGTTATCGAAGCATCTGGCGGGAGTTTTTGAAATAATGTCGTTCATCTTGGAAATTTGTTATTTAATGCATAGAGTGAAAACGCGTGCGCGATGACGTGAGACGAATTTCGTGCGATTTCTCGTGCGAGTCAGCAAGAGAGGAATTGTAACCGTAATAACTTAGAGAAGGGGTGTACGCCCCCGGTTACTTGGATACAGTTGTGGTTATTATCACATTTTGACAATAAACTTTGAATCGGTGCTGCATGGTTTTGAAAATAACATTTTATCGATATGGGTGAGTTGTGTCATGAATTAAAGATTACGTGTGCGCTTTTCGGGTTGCCTAACGAGCTGAGTACAAACACTGTAAGATTGCACATGAAACTTATTTTATCATTCGAATAAATATATTTCAAGTTTTTTCTATTTCTTATTTCAGGAGGGTTGCTCAGTTATTTTCGTAATCTGTTAGGAAGTCGAGAAATGCGAATATTAATTTTAGGCTTGGACGGAGCCGGTAAAACTACGATTTTATATAGGTTTGTTATTCTACTTTCAACAATGACAGTTCACATTTAAATGATCCATTTCTATTATCAACGAATTATAATCAACTCTTTGTATTTTTAATCATTAATTACTCATTTCCTTAGTATCTTTATGATACACACGCTATATCTTATCACTCGTTATAATCATCAATCAATATTTGTCAACCTATTCCTGTTCCCAGTATATTTGACAGTCTGATGTAACTAAAAATATCATTCATATATATTATTACAATTTTTTGACAATCTTATGTCAGATTGCAGGTCGGTGAAGTGGTAACTACGATACCTACAATAGGATTTAATGTAGAACAAGTTACATATAAGAATTTAAAATTCCAAGTATGGGATCTCGGAGGGCAAACGAGTATACGGTAAAGTAAACGATTTATCTCGATAATTTTGACCTTTAAAACGTTCAACGGTTTCTACAAAATAATTGTTATACACAGAAAATCAATTGATAATTAATATATGAATTAATATTTTAGACCATATTGGAGGTGTTACTATTCTAATACGGATGCGATAATATACGTGGTTGACTCTGCAGATAGAGATAGAATAGGCATATCAAAAGATGAACTAATATATATGCTAGGGGTAAGAAAATATATTGATTTAAATATACACGTCAGTCAAATTTTTAAATGTTTAACGAATATAATCGTTTAAATCCCACAAATATTCTGAAAAATCGTATTAACAATTTCACATTGTATATTTTAATTATATAATACTTTTTGACAAGAAATTTGAATGGGACTGAAACGATTAATATATGTTACTTTGATTTGTCTAACAATATTATTTCATTTCCGAAGGAAGAAGAATTACAAGGTGCCATTCTGGTAGTACTGGCAAACAAACAAGATATGGCTGGTTGTTTAAGTGTCGCAGAAGTGCATCAAGCTCTTGGATTGGACGCGCTTAAGAATAGAACATTCCAAATATTTAAAACTTCAGCAACTAAAGGAGAAGGTCTTGACCAAGCGATGGATTGGCTGTCAAACGCGTTACAGAGTAGAAAATGATCGACATTACATCATCATCATTTTTCTTACTCAAGCCTTATAAAGAGACTGGTCGTATGACTGTCACTTCAAATATCCCACGTAATTGGGAAGAGCTCATTTGTGTTTATTTATTCAAATATTATTATATTTTATAAATACCTTGCATTTTTCGCATATAAAATTGACCATACTTTTCATAATAGATAGGACATAATAGATGTCAGAAATTTTATCTTTCTTACGAATCAAGATAAAAGCAACAAAACAAAAAACATTAAACAAAGACAAGAAAAAGATAAAATGAAGGCAAAAATAATTAATTTTTTGTCAACATATGCGAATACATATACCTTTGTATTAAAATGTAATTGAATCACATCTCTTAAGATGATTATTTCATCTTTACACACATTATATGATTGTAGAGAGCCGAATACTTTTTTAATATTAATATCCTTACTATCCTTATTTAATATTATTTGTAAATGAAAGTTAATATATTGGAAAATACTGTCACAAATAAAGACTTAATTTCATATGCATTAACAGAACAATCTTTGAAGAAAAATAATTAATGAATCTAGTTAATGTTTTACATCTTAATATGAATAATAATCATTAGTTAATAATGTATCTAATAAATAAGTTTTTGCTGAATGTAAAGTGACGAAGTACGTATTCACCTAAGCGAACATTTAAAAACAAAACGATCGTGTAAAAAAAAATGCGCCAATTTAAAACAAAATCAAGCAAAATAAAACAAAATGAATGAATCAAAATAAAAATAGATTTTCTTCGAATTATGGATGATTTTTAACAATCGAGAGTTCCAAATCATTCGATTTTTTTAACTTAAGCATCTAATTCTATGTAAATTTTTGTTCACACATTTAAAAACAGAACATAATCATATAAAATACAAAAAAAAAAAAAAATCAAACAAAATAAAGGAAGATTTTGTTAAAAATGATGTTTACCATATCGGAGTTCCAAATCTTTCAATCTTTTTAACCTGAGAGTCTAGCTCTATTTGAATTTTCGTTCTCATGTAAAATATAGGACAGTCACGGCTGAAAGAAAAATAAAACAAGATTTATTATAAACATTTATGCATATTTAAAACAACAAAAATATTTCCAATTGTTACCTGGTGCATAAAACTTGTTGATGCAAACTTCCTTGACATCTTTGACACTCTGTCCATAACGAGTTATATTTTTCTTCCAATTTTGTTTGCATAGTTAATTCAGTTTGATAAATTTCAGCTTCATGTTTTTCACAATATTGACACACAGCCATTTTTTCTCTATCCAGCGGTAAAATAGATTTACAACCAATACAGGTTTCTTTTTTATGTGTAAATGCAGCTAATGCGCCAACTTTGGAAGTGGCAACAATTTTCGTACGCGTATGATCACCTCTTAAAAGTAATGATTGTGCTTTGTCCCCAAGAATTGGTTCAAAAATTCGTAATAACGGTTTGGACAATTGATTTTCTAAATAATAAGTGGTATCAATAGGAATACTATTTTGTAAGACATATATAGGATCCTCAGCTTTCTTATAAGCCGGAGTACCCTTAGAGGCACTTATAAATACGTATGGAATACGATCACCGAGTTTAGGTGCTGTTCCCGCATCACGTTTCTTCATTTTTGCTGCCAACTCGACATGAGCTTGTTTAGCAGTGTAATCAGTTTTCGTTAATTCTTTTGTAATAACCAATTGAGATATGTCGATACGATTACATAAAAGATCACTTATCATTTGTTTCGCATAATCAAGGGCATCATCAGGATTTCTGTATATAAATGCAAGATAACATTTATTACATACAAATGATATAATTATAAAATACAGATATTGCAATTGAACTTACCTATCAATAAGTAATTTTTCCAAACAGGTGTTCATCATGTTTGCTACTAAAGGACAATTATCTCTTCTTACAGTTTCTAAACCTTTGCAATCCATTTTATCATGTTTATCAGGTTTGGTAAAGTAAAGACCAGCGTATCTTTTTTTATTTATTAAAAGATAAGGAAAGTAAACTTTTTCAAATTCTAATTTAATGGGTTTAATAAATTTGGAGGTAACGTATTCTGCAGCATTTCTACCTAATTCCATTGCATCTTCTACCTTCTGGACACCAAATTTAACCATTACAGAATCAGTATCACCATATATAACAATGGCATCATTTTTATAACCATTTTCAATGCGATAATGATTTTCAACTTCCTCTTTTGTTTTTTCTATCATCTCACGTCCATAAGCAGTAACACTTGCAGAAATTTCTAAACAAGGTAATTTTCCCATCTGGGCGCCTGTAAATCCATACACAGAATTAGCTGATACTTTTAAAGCATACTGTCTACCATCCAAGACCTTTTGTTTAAGGGGATCAGTTTCATTTTTTAATTCAGCTTTGGCCTTTTTTCTAGCTGACAAAAGATTTTCCAAAATTTCTGGAAGCAATCCTTTTCTAATATGAGATTTAACAAACAATGAATTGCTTGGAGTCTGTGTAACGTCATCGGTTTTTAAATCATATTTGTTTTGTTTGTCAGGTGTTAATAAAGTTGTATAGCATAAATTATGAGCCATGATAATACTGGGATATAGAGAACTGAAATCCAAGGTGGCAATAGGATCATTATAATAACCACGTTTTGGTTCTATGACTGTAGCTCCTTCAAATTGTTCATCTGTTCCATGTCCACTGTGTACTGGTATTAAATAATCTTTTTCTTGTGTCTATAAAGAAATATATAGTATATAATACAATATTTTATATGTATTTAATATTAATAAATATTTAACAAATATACCTTTCTTAAAAGTTGAGAAACGACTTTAATTTGTTGTCCTCTAGTTAATAAACTCATTAAAGAAACGCCAGTAACTCTTGCCATTTCCATATAAATAATAATACACATTAATTTGTCTAACAATCTTAATGGTAAATATGCATCCTTCAAGCAATACACTGCAAGACGTCTTCGAGTTTGTGAATTACCATTTTGCAAATCGGTAATAATACTATGATGCACATCTTCTTTTTGTTCTTGCAAGAAATGATAAGAAACAGCGTTCAAAGTATAGGATCTTAATTTATAGTCTCTTACTAATACCTAAAACACAAATAAATAATATATAAATGTAGTTCTTTTTAATTATTTAGTTTTTTAATTTACTCACCAAATATAAATCGAATGGTATTCTACCTTCAAAATTTATAACTTTGTATTCACGTCGTCCCATTTGTTTACTCTGCAATACCTGATCTTTAACCACTGATTTTACATCTCGGATTCTACCAAGATATACGAAGTCTTTGACGTCGAGAAATTTAGCACGATTAATTAAATATGGAAAATCAAAATTACTAATATTATATCCAGTAAAAATATCCGGATCTAATTGTCGTATGAATTCAGCCCATTTCTAAAAAACAAACAAAATAAAATTAATTAATAATATTAACGTATTATGTAAATAGAATATATTTGTTGTTATTGCAAATGTACCTTTAAAAGTTCTGCTTCCTTTTTAAAACAAAGAACTTGACAACCAACAATAGGTGCACATAAATCGAGGGTAAATATATTTCGTAAAAATGGTTCTGTTTCTCCTTGCCTGATTACCATATTTGCAATTTGTATAACAGGATCATGATTAGGGTCAGGAAATATACCTACAAACAAATATGTAATAAATGATATAATTAATCAAATTACTACTAATTTTATGAAGTATTTTTTTACCTTTTCGTCCTGCGCATTCTATATCAAAACTAAGTATTCTAAATGGTGCAACTTTGGACCATTCGCCTTCTGCTGGATGAGCTATAAAAGCATCCCATGCAACATCTACTTCTAACTGGCATCTGGATGTCATTGGCAATTTATGTCCATGTTGACCTCTTAATTTCCATTTCTCTGGTGATAGTTCGATCCAACAACAACCTACTACCGATGTATCAACCATAAATCTATTAGGAATGAAAGAATTCATTTGAGAATCTTTAAACAATATATTTTATCATATTATTGTTAAATAATATTATTCATACCTAATATCAAAATCAATATTAGTTTCAAATGGTATATAAGTATGATTAAACGCACTATAAACAATTTCTTTTTCAAGAAGTCTTTTACAAGCCGCTATTAATTTAGGAAGTGCAACTGTAATTTTGAGAAATGCATTTTTTTCATTTCCTGTATATGAATATACAGTTTGCTTGTAAACAATTTCAACAGCTAACACAGCATCTTGAATATTATTTGGATTTGATTTCATATCTTTTTTAACAGCAGCATTGAGTGCATCCTGCAACAAAATATGTGATTATAAAATCTATATGAATGTTTCCAAATTATACTTCTTATACAATATACCTTGAAAGGTTTACAATGTGCATCTGTAAATTTTTGTGGTGCAGTAACAAATAAGTATGGACAAAATCCATGAACGTGACAACAAACAGAATTTCCTTGTTCTGTTACACCAAACATTCGCATGATTGGAACAGGACCACATTTATTACCTGGCATTTCTGGTAGTGGCTCACCTTTTTAAATAATAATTACTGATTAAATATATCTATTGACATCAGAAGTATAATATAATTTAAATGTAATTTTACCTATATAATGATCAATATCTATTTGTTGAAAAATTAGTTCATCAATTTCTGGATTTAAATCTGGTACAGGTGGCCTACCCCATTTTGTAGATATATTTTCTTGTTCAGGACCCTATATTATAATGATTAATTAGTTAATATCGTTTAATAAATTTGTATATATGTCATGATATTATGAACACATGTTTCACATTAACTGATGTTACAAATGTCTAATGCTGTGCTTTCAAAAGAAATCTGTACGTAATAGATGAGATAATGGTAGCAAATATGTAAACGCTAAACCTATCATGGCTTGTCAAAGTGACTAGTTTATATAGAACATTTCAAGAATAAAAATGTGGTAGATTTAGTGTTTAAAAAATTATATAAATAAGATTGTATGACTGTAAAAATAAAAACATATAAAGCAAGCATTCATGGTATAAAGCAATTGAATCAACGAATTAATATATGCAACTTCTATCGATTAAATAGATGCATATGAACGATATGTAAGCATACATTTACATGTTGCAATGAGCTTACAATTATTGTTACCATAATCACTCACTGCGTTTAGCTTATTGACTATCGTCATTTCACAGTTATCGATAGGCTAAAGAATAAAATTAATATATTTAATAATATATAATCATTGCAGTCTTATGCTACATATTTAATAATTTATTTAAAAGAATTGGCAAATTTGATTACTCTTTAATCACTTACTTCACCAGTTACTTGTGTGACCACATCAAATTGATCATCTATATTTTCCATATTCGCCAATTCTGCTTCAAACGACCATGGAGGATCATCATCGTCATCATTGTTACTAAAAAGATAACATTTTATAGAAATTAATACATTTTTTTACTAATTCAAAATAAGTAGGTTAGAATCAGAGGTTATACTATACCTGTACTTTGCTTTTTTAACAGGTTTAGATCCCATTTTATTCATGTTTAGTTATTTATTTATTTATTAATTAATTAATTTATTAATTTATTTATCAATAAACTTTAAATATAAATAAATAAACATAAAACGTAATATTTCACTCGTAGCCGTACACAATGAACAGCTAACCCTTTCGAAATTCTGAAAAACGCGGGAATTTAAATTCCCTTCCTTGTGATTGGTCTGTTTCTTTCTCTATTTCTTTGGTTACATCGTGCGCCGTCTGTCGACTAAAAATGTACTAAATTCAAGAATACGAATATAAGTTAATCCATCTAGTATAATATGATATACCGTGCAAAATGAATTATGTCAAACAGCGTTCTAGTGCTTAGTTAATGTTTAGTTAAAGTATTTAGAATTTAGTGGTCGTGACTGTGAATTTCAATGTGTTATAATGAAGAATTAAATCCTAGTAGGGCGTAGTTGTAATTGCGACATGGCATCTCGCAGGTAAGGCACGTTTTTATACTCGTTGAAAAAAAATAGGATTATCGTAATTCATGGACATTCCAAGAACAATTTTGCATATCGTCGGCACAACAGCAGGTTAGTCAGACATACTTAGAAATTAAGTGTCAATGTTATAAATAAACAACATTTTTTATCGAGTGCATTTACAAAAATGCATTTCTGAAATTTTTCAAATTCTTTAAAGAATATTTTTATTTCCAAATAACATAAGTTTTTTGGAATTTGCAAATACTTTACATATTTTGCACATTATTACATATAAAAATGTCGGTGATAATATTTATTATAAAAATTTGATATTTTATCAATGCAAGAGGTTATTAGATATTTCATTTTCAAACTTGTAATAAAGAGAAGCAGAAAGAATATTTGATTACATTGTTGCACATGCAAATGAAAATAAATATTTTTGATCACAGATGGTTTCATCCTAACATATCAGGATTAGAGGCAGAACGTTTATTAATGGAACGAGGTTATGATAGTTCCTTTCTAGCACGTCCAAGTTCATCAAATCCTGGTGATTTCACGTTATCCGTAAGGTAAATTCAAGCATTATACTTTTGTTACATTTAGATGATAAAATATAAAGTATGCATTATTAATAATTGATATCATTAATTATATTCATAGACGCAATGGTGAAGTGACTCATATTAAAATACAAAACACAGGAGACTTTTATGATCTTTACGGAGGTGAAAAGTTTGCAACATTGTCAGAACTCGTACAATTTTACATGGAAAATGGTGGTCAGCTACGTAAAAAGAATGGAGAGATAATAGAGTTGAAATATCCTTTGAATTGTGCTGATCCAACGACTGAAAGGTATTGTATAACAAAATATGATAAAAGGTGTAATTCCTTTCTAAACTGCAATTTAATATGTTGGTATAAAAATCTTCTATTATTACTTTAAATGCGCACATATAGCATGGTATGTTAATAGTAAAATATGGGTAAAGGTGGTTCCATGGCCATTTATCAGCAAAGGAAGCAGAACGTTTGATGATGGAAAGGGGAAAAAATGGATCATTTCTAGTTCGTGAATCACAGAGTAAACCTGGGGATTTTGTATTGTCTGTTCGTACTGATGACCGTGTTACACATGTTATGATACGATCACAGGTTAATTATATTTATTATAATTTATATTTCATTTCATTGGACTGTTCGTAATTAATAAAATTTGTATATTTCACAGGATAATAAATACGACGTGGGAGGAGGAGATAAATTTGATAGTCTCAGCGATCTTATAGAACATTATAAACGAAATCCAATGGTTGAAACAAGTGGAAGTGTTGTTCATCTTCGGTAACAATATTTGTGTTACTATTATCATGCTGTACATTTACAATTTAAAAAAATAATAATTTTAATGTTCATTTTCTCTTTTTAGACAACCATTCAATGCAACTCGTATAAACGCCAGCGGAATTGAAAGTAGAGTAAGGCAGTTACACAAAGAGAATGGTTGTTCTAACGGATTATTATGTCGAAATGGAGCAACAGATACTAACGAAGGCAGTACAGGTCGTGGTAAAGGAAAAGCAGGATTTTGGGAAGAATTTGAATCATTGCAACAACTAGAATGTCGTCATTTGTTTTCCAGGAAAGAAGGTTTAAGATTAGAAAATCGAGCGAAAAATCGATACAAAAATATTTTACCGTGTAAGATTATATGTTTGTATATACGTCATTTTAAAAGATATTTTTTGTTTCTATAAATTGTTTATTATATAATTAATTACAGTTGATCATACGAGAGTACACTTGAAAGATGTAGATCCTAATGTACCTGGATCAGATTATATTAATGCTAATTATATCAGGGTATAATTTATTTATCACATCAATATTTTTTATATATTAATTTTAAATCTGTTATATTTAATAAGTATTGTATTTACAGAATGAAGAAGCCGATGGAGCAGTACCTGGTGTTAGTGGAAATGAGGTTGGTCAGTTTAATAAATGTTATATTGCTACGCAAGGCTGTCTTCCAAACACTATTGGAGACTTCTGGCACATGGTGTATCAAGAAAACACTCGAGTAATCGTTATGACTACGAAAGAAATGGAAAGAGGGAAAGTAAGCTAAAAAAATACATTTTTTTATATCAAATAGTAATATGAATGCAGTTAACGATCCATGCATCATTGCTTTTCAGAATAAATGCGCTCGGTATTGGCCTGAAAAAGGAGAAATAGCAGAATATGGAGGCACATGGAAAGTTCATGCTCTTTCTTGTACCGAAACAGCTGATTATACTTTACGTGAATTTTTATTACAAGGAAACAAACCCAATTTCATGGTTGCTAGAAGGATATACCATTACCATTTTCAAGTTATTATCTTTTTTTCATTGATTATAGTTCATAAAAGATTATCTATTATATTGATAACATTTTCAAATTATTTTATAGGCTTGGCCCGACCATGGTGTACCATCGGATCCTGGTTGCGTTTTAAACTTTCTTCACGATGTTAATGCTAGACAAGAATTACTAGCTGCTGCTGTTACACCAAATACTCCAAATACAGCACCAACCATGGGCCCAATTCTTGTTCACTGTAGCGCTGGAATAGGAAGGACTGGAACTTTTATTGTTATTGATATGATTTTGGATCAAATTAAACGCTATGGTAATTATTTTTTATCTAATAATATTCTAGTTTTATTCTCTACATAAAAGAAAAGATATATTAATATTATTAATCGTGTTAGGTCTTGATTGTGAGATTGATATTCAACGAACTATTCAAAGAGTACGCTCTCAAAGATCTGGTATGGTACAGACTGAAGCACAATATAAATTTGTTTATCTCGCAGTTTTACATTACATTGAGACTGTATCTCAAAGAATGCAAGCTGAACAGGTAGGAATAAAAATATTATATATTTTCTAACAATCCATTACCATCTTTTAATTTAAATAACGTTTCTTTTTTCATAGAAATCATTACAGTTGGGTCGTGAATATACTAATATTCGATTACGGCGGTACTGAAAAATGATATTGCATAACGAATAGACATGAAGGAATGAGTTGCGGGAAGCTGCTCAAATCTATGTTCTCGTCACAGAAAATTAAATGTTTAAAAAGTTAGACGACTTTCACTGATATAACTTCTATCTCAGTTCGCTTATTGACATTATCAAGCAATTAAACCGATTATAATGTGAGAGATGTTGAAACTGAGAAATTGAAATGAAGAAACTGAGAAACTGAGAAAGCATTGTTATCAGGGAAGATAAAGAAGAAGAAGAAGAAAAAGTGAACGTAACAAAGATGATAATTTATTTCATTACCTAGCTCGGGTCAAAGAGCGAAACTCTCAATCAACAAAAAGAGATTAAGACTACCAAGATTCTATATCTCGGATTAAAATAAAATAAAGAAAACAAAAGAAGAAACACAATTTTTAAATAATTAACATATATATATATACATAGATAAAAGATTGGACAAAGTAATTCGTAGCTTGATGACGCGATAAATGATAGATATATTCGAATGAAGCCTGTTATATATAAATATATTCAAATCAAGTCACTTATGTATACATTTTTCTAATAGTACAAAACACAAGAGGTATTCGATTTAATACACGAATGGAAGGATATAGAAACGATAATCTTGTACACATATCTTATAATCTTTGACACACAAAAATAAGATACTGAAAACGATCTTTCAAATTTAACAAAAAGAGAACTAACTAGACAAAAAAAAATAAACACATAGAAATATTGCTATGAATTACAAAATTGTATGTATGTATGTACGTGTATATATATATATATATATATACATATATATGTGCATACTCACATGCACTCAAGTACTTATAGATAAACTATGTGTTAAAACATTCGAATTTTCACATAAAAGTTCTTAAAAAAAAAAAAAAATATATATATACTTGTGAACTTCTTCACTTACTTAAAAAAAGGGATTAGAAAGAAACGAGCTTATTCTTAGTCTAATGATGAATATTTTCTGAAGCTAAGGAAATAAGTACAGAAGCTTATATATATATATATATATGGTTTATATGGTTGTTTAATTATATTTTAAAATATGAAAATGTTCTAATTTGCAATAAGCGCTATTTGTATCATATTCAAAAAGCGCGCAATTTTGTCCAGTGTTGCCAACTTAGTTTTTGTTTATTAAATTTTGAAAAATATTTGTTTAGTTGGTATTAGTGAATGTAAATAAGTTACTTTTTTTTTATTGCTTGTATAATAATATTTTAATTTTTATAATTAATTAATTATTTTATAAAGTATGCATATACTTATGCGTGTATATGTATATTTTATTTATTTGACATTACAATATAAGTTAAATGGAATAGTTACATAAGCACGGACAATATACATAATCCTGTCAAGGATAATAATTCCATCCTATGCAGGAAGAAAATAATCAGATTAGTAAAAATATAAATTAGTATTGCATAAACAAAACAAATTCGATCAAAATTAAGTGTGTCATTAAATATATATATGATATTTGAAACAGCAAACAACTTCACCAGATATTTTAATATAAATATATAATATTAAGAAAATAATTGAAAATTCATTTGTTAACAATTTGGTGAATCTCAAGTTTATTATTGAAAATTTTCGAATGTGTTAACTTTGTAAATTAATTGATTATTTAAATAAGATAAGTAATGAACACTGTATCTTTTTCAAATGATAAGTAAATGAAGGCAGTTACAAGTATTAATTTCATATACATACATATATATATATATATTAAAAGAAAAGAAAAAAGACAAATCTTAAAGGTTTTTGTGAGCGTAAAGTTTTACAAAATCCACTTACTCTCGCATAATAACTAAGATAAATTGTTTATTATTATTTTCATCGTATTATGGTTAGATATACTTTTTATTATTATGACTGTATTATAGATATTTTTTAATAATTGTTAGGATTGATTTTTTATCATTAACTTTATAACAGGACAGAACATAAAGATGTGATACATCGTTCAAATATCTTTTATCGCTTAACATCTATGAACTTATAAATACATTATACGCACATATGACAATGCCGCTTAAGAATCATAATTTTCTTATTTGATTTATCGTACTTGAGTGTATGTTCGCCAAAAGTTTTAAATATGCATTCTATAGAATAAATATACGCTTTCTTTAATAGTTGTTAAGATATTAACGTCGGAAACAAATTCTTGGTAATATATGTAAACATTTGATAGATCCTATCTTAATCTAAACATTGTAAACAAAAATTTAAATATAGGAATTATCATTTTTTATAATTCCAATATTAGTAACCAATTATTATTGATTCTAAATTATAAATGTATAATATAACTTGATAGTTCAACGAATGAATATTTGTACATTTTAAATTTGTTTATGCGTTATATTAAAAACACAAAAATGTACATTTATATACTTATTAGTTATAATCTTTATAGTTTTATTTTTTAATGCAATAACACGCTTTCTTATCTTTTTTTATTAATGCATTGTGTAGCTATACATATACATATATAAATATATATTTTTAAGTTATTCGATGAAATTAAATTAACAAAATTTATATTTTAAATGAAAATGATTGTATCATTTTATAAAATATTTTATAAATTCTAATTGTCGATGCTGTAATATGTTGTAGTATGTATACGTCATTATAAGTAATGTCAAATTCACGATCATGTAAATTTGTATACAAGAGAATTTATATGAAACAAAAATATGATTCGTAAGCAAGTTGTTTCTTCACAAAAATTAAATAATATTAGAAAAATGAGAAAAAACACTAAATCTCCTTCTTTAATTAGATTAGACGAACTCTTTTATTAGATGAAGTACATTTATTTAAAATTGTAGAATAAAATGACGAATATATGAATGTAAATAAAGAGAAGAAGTTTTTAATTATTAAAACCTAATATTGGTTGAAAATAAATATCTAGAATAAAATAAGTAAAATGTTGAGATTGATAGAAAATATAATAATATATTTTATTTAAATAATGTTATTGTACATACAAAAAAATGTCGAATGTTAATAATTTAATATTTTTAATTAATATATTAATACCAATTATCATATATTCTCAACTATAATACGTATTATTTGCAATTTAATGTTCTGATACTACTTCCTGTTAGTTCAATTGTAGGTAGCATGTGAGTAGCATGGTAAAATATGTTAGAGAGGTTAGGTAACCTACACGCTGTTTACATTCATAGTGCATCGTCCATCGTGCGTGGTGTTTATTATTATTTAATATTGTAAATCCGAATAGTTTAATTTATAAACAAATATGAGACGTTTATCAGAAGAAAGAACAAAGCTTGTGCTTGAAAAATTAAAAAAATAGTAAGTTTTCTACAAGTATTTTTTTAAAATTGTTAAAATTTACCATGAATTACATAGAGGTTATTTTATTTTACAGTATTGGAGAAAATATAAAAAATTTAATAGACAGACCAGACGGCATGTATTGTTTTCGTGAAAAGAAGGATAGAGTGTATTATGTTTCAGAAAAGATTTTAAAATTAGCTAATACGATTAATCCAGATAATTTAGTTAGTTTAGGTATTTGTCTTGGAAAGTTCACCAAGTCTGGCAAATTTCAATTACATATAACTGCTTTACATTATCTTGCTCCGTACGCTCAAGTAAGTTTGAATAAAAATAATAAAGCATTTATCTTCTTACAGTTAATAATTATTAATTTTTGCATTCTATTTCAAGCATAAACTTTGGGTTAAATCTTCTGCGGAACAACAATTTTTATATGGACATCACGTCTTAAAATCTGGATTGGGACGTATAACAGAAAATACAGGACAATATCAAGGTGTAGTCGTTTATTCTATGAACGATGTACCTCTGGGATTTGGTGTGATGGCTAAAAGCACGTTGGATTGTAAAAATGCAGATCCTGTGGCAACAATCTGCTTTCATCAAGCAGATATTGGAGAATATCTTCGATCCGAGGATACATTATTATAATTTCAAGGTTTCTAGATATCATTTCATTGTATATAAATTTTAAGATGTTATATTTATATTTTATATAAAAATGAATAAGTAAAACAATTGAAAGTATAGTTAAAACTGTCAAAATTTTCTGTAATTATCATTTTATTCAGACATTGTATACATTCATTTATAAGATAGAAATAACTACACATTCATTCCGTTATGTTTTGATTTATAAAACTACATTGTGTGTTACATTCGTCATGACTTGCAACAGTTGTAAAAGTACAGAAGATGAACAATTATTCACGTTAGAAGTATTTGTAAATGACGTTACTCTTTACATTGATAAATTACCAAAAAAAGAGTTAACTAATTTAGGAATAGATTTGAAATTCATTGATTTTCCTCTAATTAGAATATTTCAAAATGAATACGAATTAACTAAAACAGAAAAGTCAAAAGAAATTCGTAGTGATGCCAAATGCCGTATTATTAATTTTAATTGTGGACAAACGCATTTATTTCCAAGGATTCCAAGCGAGTTGATAAATGCAATGAGATCTTCTAAGTTGACTTTAGATGTTTATAAAATAAAAGGTATATCTATATGTCCATACCAAATCCTAAAAGGTCCTTTAGCCGAAGCAGAAATTCCTTTGTATGGATGTTTATGCAATCAAGTTACAATGGCGACGAATGATACTAATTACATGCCAAAACCATATGTTATTAAAAATAAATTTGTTCTTTTAAATGAAGAACGTATGATGTGTGGCATGATATCTCTTTTTTTAAGACTTCAATGTATTGGTAAATATAGTACTGTAGAATTTGCAATTGATGAAAAAACATTGTTATTTAAAAATCAAAATTTTCCTGATGAATTTCGATGTGCAAGAGTACCAATTTATGATGAAGTTTTAATAAGAGCACAAGAAAGAGAAAACAAAATTTGTTTTCCTGATGAAAAACTTAAACCAAATGAAATAAATTTACCACCTAATTCTAATTTCATTATTGATTTGACTCCAATTTGTACGATGTTGGCAGAACGAGATAAACTTCCTAAAGATCTTTTCAGCTCGTTAAAAACTCAATATATTGATAAATATAATCAAATTAACGATAAGGAAGAAAAAGACAACCCTTGGCCTTCCGAAACATTTATTATAGATACTTCTACTTCTAATATACATATAAGATCACACTTAGGTAATAAACCTTGTTATTCTGTTGGTTGTTCTGGTGGACTTTGCATTGGAGGAAAATCAACGTGGGAAAATGCATAATATCTGTAGGTGATATAAAATATCTTCTTCTTCTTCTTCATCTTTTTATTAGGGCTTTGTCCTGTTATATATATATAAAATATCTATTATTTAATAATAAATGTTTTATACACTTATAAATTATTTCTATCAACTTATTACATTTTTAAATTTGGCGCGAAAAGAATTAGAATTTATGTGTGCGATGATTGGTTGTAGATAAATAGCGCTAAGCACATACGTGGCGGATTATTCAACTAATTCGAATCTGAGGTGTAGTTTAAATTATACGGAACAAAAACATAAGAAAAAATGTCAAACTGTACTAATGCTTGCATGTATCCAAAAAAACAATATGGAATAAAAGACAAGTATTATTGTGCTGTTCTCTACAAAAATTAGACAAACGCCATAGTGTCTTTTGGGTCTTGAATATGGATAGAGCAATTTTTAGAACGTATTTCACATATGTTTTCCCTGTGGTGGATATTTGTAAATGGTTGACTTACAAAGATGGTATAAAATTACAAATGATTACATATCTTTTTCAAATTTGTTTAACAAATTGTATACAATATTTAATTTATGTTTTTCAGACACCTGCCTCAAACGCAGAGAATTTTCAATAAGACTTGTAAAAGGTGTATACCTGAGGTATCTGACTTTTGAATTTCCTAATCATCTTAGAGCGATTATTTTAAAAGAAAAACCTGTAGCGATTAATATTGGAGCTATTTACAATGTGCCGTAAGCAGTGTTTTATACTTTTATTAATGAAAGTGTACTTAATATTAAAAAAAGAAAATATTTCAGACCGAAGAATGGTGATATGTCAAAAACCTGTGAAGAAAGGGAATTAATCTTCGATATAGATGCTTCTGACTATAACGATGTCAGAACATGCTGTCAAAATAAAGAAATCTGTAAAAGGTGTTGGAAATATGTTGTTATTGCCTGTAAAATATTAAATAGGCATTTAATAGGTCAGTATGCATGCAGTAGTAGCATTAAGTAAAATATACTTTGAGATTTGTTTATTAATTCTTTTTTTTTATAGATTTTTTGGGATATAAAAAGATACTATGGATCTTTTCTGGCAGAAGAGGAATACATTGTTGGGTTTGTGATAAAGAAGCTAGGAAATTGTATCCACGTGGTCGGTGTGCAATTATAACTTTCATGAAACACCAGTTATTAAAGTGTGTACTTAAGGATGACCAATTTTGGCTAAGAAAATTGAATTATTACGATAGGTATCGTAGTTATTTGTTATGTTTACCTCTATCATATTTATAATAATTTTAATAATATAATATTTTATTTTATGTCACAAACACAGATGCATGCTTTCATTTATAGAACCTGAATTTGTACCTCTATGCATCATAGATCAAAATCTACTTGGTACAGAGGAAGGTATGAATTATTTCTTGGCTTTACTTCCTGATCCGGCGCAGGAAGATGTTAAAAAAATATTTCAAGAAAAAACAACAAGCCTTGATAGATGGAATGTATTTATTGAATATCATAAATTAGTGATTAATTCTGTACGTATGATTACAATTATTTGACTTATAAAAATGATCATTTATGTATGTATAAAATTATTAAAATTATACTTTTATATATATTTTTTTTAGCAACTAGAGTATTGGAAAAATCTGGCAGAATATGTAGATCATGTAAAATTACATTATTGCAGTCCCAGGTTTGACATCAATGTAACAAAAGATGACAGACATCTATTGAGGTGTCCATTTTCTACACATTATGAAACAGGAAAAATTGCTTTGCCATTTGATATCACTCAAATTGAAGAGTTTGATCCAACAACTTCTCCTACAATAAATCAGATAGTGGCAGAAGTAAATTTTATACGTCAAAAACAATCGTATGAAGACAATTTACGCTTCAAAATTGATTACAATAAGACTTCTTTAAAGTATCCTATAATTATTTTTCGTAAATTTATAGAAGAAGTAATTTCAGAGTAATATTACATTGAAAATTATTTTTGTACCATTATGGGATAGAAGTTATGTCTATTGTTATGAATTATAATATATTTTATATAAATTTATATTAATGTTTGTATTTTGTAGCTTATATTAATTTGGTATGAGTATTACCGACATAAGGTAATATACCGACCCGTTTAGTTTCGTAGTTCGTATTATGTCCACACTTAAGTCCTAAAGTCGCGCTTTGAAAGAAAGGAGTAGTGAACAGCTTTAAATATACGATTAAATAATAGTAACAAGATTCAGTTTAAAAAAACATTACATTTATATTTTATATAAAATATATTAGTTGATAATATTTATACAAACATAAATGAAAAACTCTAAATAGTTTGAAAGTTTCTAATTTGTGTTAAAAAACTGTTCTTTTTTGGTTAAAAAATTATTAATGGCGAATTAAAAAAAAAAAAATTGTATCGGCAGATAATTGGGAATATTTCGATGCGTGCGCATCATTGAGGTTATGTGAGACTCGTGACGTTTGCACAGTATTCGTACGCGTTCTTTACTATTTAATTATCGCTTTATTTGGTGTAGTTTGACATCATAATGAATTTTATTTTCTAATTGAATGATCCTTAAAAAGTTAGTGTCAATAATCAATTAGAAAATCGATAGATTTAATAAAATTTTTATTTTTTTTTGCCAATTCACGAGAAGAATATTTGCACGAAAGGATCATCCATTATCTCTAAACGAATGTAAGTTTGCATGAACATAAGACTTTAGTTATCAAGATTATAATAGTTCAGTGTTATTTAAATAAAGTATTATAAAAATCTGTGATACTGTGAGCTTAATCAATGATATCGAATTTAATTCGATTTTAATTTAATTAACTTATAATTAACATTTCTATTAATTTTCTATTGTTATTGTATTCTACAAGTTTATGAAATTATAATAACACAATACATCAATTAAGATAATTTATAGTTAACTTAAAACTAAACGATATTATTGTAATCGTAAGTGTCATATTATGTGTCACTGGGATGTACAGTGTTTTCTTTTTTGTTAAAGACTTTCGGAGTTTCTTCTGTTGTAACTATATTTAAATTAAAAATGCTTCTTAAGATATCATTGAGTATAGCACATAGAAACGTGCAATCTGTAATCCACGTTGATACATTGATACATAAGAATACTTTAAATATTGTTTGCAAAAAGATAGGTGTCCATAGTATTATACCAATTATTAAAGATACTTTAATTGTTCTTATTAATTTATCAACTTGTAATGATTCTTTCAATATGCTGTCATATATTTGAACATGATTGCACCTGTACTTTGTTTCTTTATTATTGTACTCCGTATTTAAAAAAGAATTATGAGAAGTATTGTAACTAATTGTATTTTTTTCTTTTAGTTTGCTCAACACATTTTGACAAATAAATTGACTGCGTACTTGTAGAACGGATGACAAGATAATTGGTAAGAAATATATTATAAACATAAGTGCAAAAAAATACAACCTTACAAATTTAATTGGTATAATGCATTTATCCATGGTACACGTGGCAGTAATTTCAAACAATTTGTCAACATCTTCATAATTTTCATTAACAAGTGTTGTCATTTCTGTCGTAGAATCATTACTTTCAATATTATAATATCGTTGTCCACTTCTTTTAGTTTTGGTTCCTTTCTTTTTATTTGTTATAGTAGTACTATTTTTTATTCGTGAAACAATATCTAAAAGAATTTGTTCCTTAGTTAATAACAAAGTTTCTTCCGCTCTATTTCTATCATTTACTAACGAGTTAGTTTCATTTTTATTATCTTTAAGATCATTATCATGAGATAAGTTATTATTCATTTTATTTTTGTCAAATACATTGAAAGGAATCAAAGAAGTGTTCAATGGTAGTAGCAATTTTGTAATTTGTTCTTCGAATCTCTCATCTTCCATTTGAAAATTATTTTCATGTTCGACAATAATATCAGACCAATTATAAGAATTTAAATTGTCTACTGTTACCCATTCCTTAGAATTTGTTTCAGGATTAGTCTTGTTATTTATATCTATGTTGTTTTCTATGGGTAATAAGTTTTTATTCTCCAAATCATTTGTATTATTTAATGCTGAATTCATAATATTATATATTTTGGAGATTATTTCATTTTCTGTTACGTTAAGATCAAACAATTGTATCGAACTTAAATTACTGACATAATCATTGTAAACTGGTATTGAAATAGTTGAATATTCTTGAGAAACTTTACGTTTCGTATCTTCATTTGTTTCTAAACAATTATGAAAAGAAAAAGGAGATTCGTACATGCAATTAACATTTTCATTTTGCAACATTATTCCAATGTTTTGATAATCAGCAAAATATAAAATTCCAGTAGTAACAATTGGTATCAACCATTGACTCAATACACTCATTCCAACAATACCTTTATTTGTTGTTGAGATGTTTTTTAATTTTGTATCATGAAAAAATTGTGGAATCATTTCTTTCATTTTCATAGTAGTTGTATTTTTGTATATATCTTTTGATTTTATTAATTCTTCATTTGTAGAACTCGTATCATTTATTTCTATAATTTCAATGTTATGTTGTTCAGAATGATTAATATTATCAGACATTTTTATTGGATTTTCTTCCATTTTTATTTCTGAGTGGAAATAATTGTTATATTTATCACTGATAAATGTAGCACTTAAATTACATTGTATAGACAATATTATTAATGATATAAATGCATTTGTAAAAGGCATTAGGAACATAGCATTGTGCATTAATAGATTTTTAATATTGCATATCGTTAAATCAGAATAATTTATGTCAGTTAAATTATATGTATCATAAAATTGCAAAAATGTGTCTGAATATTTATCTTTAATATTTATATTTAACATTCTTTTACTTTTATAAAAATAATTAGTACTGACATTCATATCTGCATGATTTATGAGTAATAATATTGCTGTAACTACTGAATTTAATATGTCAGATGTTGACAAAATATAAAATGAAGATACCTTTTGACACTTAAACTTCTTTTTAATAAGAATCACTAATATAATAAAATTGAAGAACAGTAGCACGTATCCTGCTATGGCAATTGTTATCATATTCATTTTGTCACTCTATCAAAACTATATTTTTTATACAGTTAAATTGTTCTTGAAAAATAATTGTTTATTGCGTATAAAACTGTTGGTTGGTTACTGTCAGGAAAAGAATTTCTAGACTGTAACTAACTTGTTCAACTACTGTTAGAGTAATTGCATGTGGGTGACGAATATGAGGGTCTGATATTAGATAATACATTGAAGCAAAGATATGATGTTCGTAATAAATAGCATATTTTTAACTAAAAATAATTTCTATGGTGTAAAATACAATATTAGAATTATATGTTTAAATTGTACCATGGAAATGCAATACAATTAACAATTGTTTTATTAAGTATAATATTAATATATTATTTGATTTGTTTTCAGTACTTGATTCATCATGTCTATTCGTCGGAGAACTGATCCTTTTATAGTTCAACGTATATGGGATGCCATCAAAATAACAGTGCATCAAAGAAGTTTACCCAGCAATGAACGCATGGTACGACACTTGTCACGTGTTTATGGAATTACTGAACAACAAGCTCAAGAAGAATTGAACAAAGCTGTCGAAGATAAACTTGTTATCTTAAAAAAAGTTCCATCGAAGACAGGAATAGAACAAGAAAGTTACAGATTACCAATAGAACCACCAGAAAAAACTGATCACGATTGGTATTGCTATAAATGTCAAAAAGCTGGCTTGGTAGAATGCTGCCAAAAATGTTATAGAGTATATCATTCAAATTGTCATGTGCCTACAAATCCAAAAGTAAAAATGTGCGATTTTTGTGAGGTGAATATCAAAACAAAATCTTAATATCATATTTTTAGATAAAGCATTTTTTAATATACAATTAATAAACATATATGTAAATATGTTTTCAGAAATTAGAAACTGACACATATTCAGACAAATCTGATCTCAATCATATACTTACTTTCACGTGTGGTCATTTAAAAGCAAAGTTACCACTAGAAATAACAAATCGTACTATAGTGTTTAATAACGATCTCATTGATATGCCAACAAGTAACTTTTCTGGACCTACTTGGATAAGTGAAGGTGAAGATGCATGGCGTCCTGGTTTTCTTATCAAAAATCATATGGATTTGGCTATTATGGATTCTAAAATAAACAAAAAAGAGTACAAAAATTTAACAGAGTTTCAAGCAGATGCACACAATATTCTTCATAATATTCTGTTATATCATGGAGGTAAAATATTAGAGTTATATGTTATATAACATAAAAAGTTATGTATATTATGTATTTTAATATATATTTTATGAAATGTTCTAGCTCACAGTATAATTGGAGAAATGGGCAACACAATGTATCAAGATTGCTGTTACGATCTTCAAGAAATTCGTCGGTGTGCAGACTGTTACCGAATATCAAATGAGAAATCGGAGAAAATGTGGTTCTGTATACCATGCAACCCACCGCATGAACTTGTTTATGCTAAACAAAAAGGATATCCTTACTGGCCAGCTAAAGTTATGCAAATTAATGGCAATGTCTACGATGTTCGATTCTTTGGAGGACATCACATGCGGGCTAACATAGAGAAAGTTTTTATTCGGCCAATTAGTGTCAGCTTACTATCTTTACAGGTAAATATATTCGTTGTTATGTTCTGGGATTGTACACGCGAGAACTGTTACGCGACCACTTTGAAAATTCTCGGTTTAGGTTACATCCAGTTAACAGTTTATTGTATCACTGACTTGATAGGAGAGAACAGTTGAGAAAAAACTAATTTAAAAAAATTGTTGTTGCACTTAGATATATAACTATCTTAACAACGAATTCTTGCATAGCCTTGAGTGGGGCAAGTGGAAAGAAATGAAAGGTAATATGCCTATAAGAAAACACAAATAGAAAATGCGAGTAATTCTCCTATCATTGCACTTCAATTTTAATTTTGCAATGATCTATTTCATATCATTTACTATTTATTATTTCATAGATAAAGAGATCGACAGCGTGGAACAGAGCATTCGAAGAATTGAAACATCATCAACACTTACTACAAATGTCCGGGAAGGTTGTAGAAGAAATAGATATGAGTGACTATGAAGGACCCAAAGCTGCTAAAATTGGACGCACAGACACAGGAAGTTTGAAAGAAACTTCTCTCAAAAGTAATCTATCTAAACCGATTATAAAAGATTTAAGAGTTAAAGTTGAACGTCTAAGTACTGATGGTCATGCAGACTTAATGGCGTCTCGAGAGACAACGGGAAATAAATCTCCAAAAAGTAAAGCTGGAAGCGAAGAAAGAACGGTACCACGTTTAGCAGTGGCAGAGGATGAACCCACAAGAGAAATATCCAGTACGTGTCCACAAGGTTTAAAAAAGGAAGGATCCCAAGAAGATATGGTAACATCTAGTTCTCAAGAACCAAGATCCAAATGTGTTCTCGTGCAAACGGAACAAATTCAAACAGAAGTTATACCAGCGAAGGTATAACATTAAAATGTGCAATAATATAATAATACATATTTTAAAATATATTTTTATTTGTTATATATAAAACATTACAGATTAAAAGGGAACGTAGGACATCCGAACAACCTATAACAACAGCATTAGAAAAACTACGAAGAGAATTGGAACTCGATAAATGCAGAGAGATGGAGAGACTTCAAGCAGAACACGCTAAAGAGTTGAGACAACTAACTGATAGACATCAACAGATTATATCCGAAATTAAAAAGAAACAATGGGTATTTATTTTGCACATATATATGAACTGATGTTTATAATATTTATAAATAGAAAATTAATAATATATTATGTATGGTATGTTTTCATTGCAGTGTTATAATTGTGAAGCAGAAGCAATATATCATTGCTGTTGGAATACAGCTTATTGTAGTACAGATTGTCAACAAGTTCATTGGCAACGTGAACACAAAAGAGTTTGTCGGCGTAAACGCTAATTAATTATAAGGTGCAATAAAAATCTTATATAATAATATGATTTCATTATAGAATAAGAAACATAAAAAACTCTAGTTTTCTTCTTTTCTTTTTGTATTTTATTTTTGAAGAAAAGAAAAAGAAAGAAAATATAGTAATGTATATATTCTTAACACCACAATTTATCGTTTCTTTCTAGAGATTTCTTAGATGAAAGTATTTTTTAAGTAGAAATTTATTCTTTTCAATCGTGTTATATAATACTAAATAATGTAATTTATTAAATGTTTTTTTTTAGTTATTAATAATCATTAATTTATATAATTGTGTTTTATACTAAAGAACATATACGATTATTAATTTCAAATTAAAAACACACATATGATTAATGATTTTACAGAAATGTTGATGTATCAAAGAAAGTTTTTAATTATAAAATGAACAAATTACTTATACTTTCATTTAAGTATTTAATCTAATAGATAATCTATTATATAGATTTACTGTTTTGTTTGTTTATATATGAATATTTCTTATATTATTATCTTAACAATTCTGACATCACACAATATTAAGTAATTAATAAGTATATTTAATAAGTCACAAGGTTTGTGAATAAAAATAATTAATGATACTTTAATCAAGTTAAAAAAAAAAAAAAATAGTATGTGCGCACAAAAGCAAATTTACAACATACTAGTCCAATATTTTTACTCATTCCACACTGCTTCATACTTAATAATTTTGTTAGTAAATATAAATCATTCTTAGGAAGTTCTTTTATTTAATTTTATTTTATTAATATAACTTCTACATTTGTATGAATAATCATTGAATTTATATATTAGAGTTTAGGTTGAATAAATAAATAAATTACAAAATTGTAGATCTTAATTATACAAGACGTTATATATATATATATTTTTTTTCTTTTTTGAAATGATATTGAAAATACGATATATTCTAATAAAAATGTAAATGAATATTATTTTAAACAAATCATATTGAAAATATATATATAATATACATAGATATTATAAAATATATAGAGGAGTATATATTGATATATTAGATACGATTAAAAAGAATTTAGGTACTTTGAGTAGCTTTAACTTCTTTACCAACTACTTCTAAAGCCATTTGACCTTTTTCAGCAGTCTCCGTTACTTGCACATAACTTGTTGCATCTATGGTATTTAAGGAAAACTTTTCTAACAATTGTAATTCAGATGGATCCAATTTTTCTCCGAGTTGTCTCAAAGCACTTAGTACTTCAGCACGTAACCTATCAGCAACATCTTTATTTAATTTTCCAAGTTTATTATCTCGTTCTATTTGAGCAAGGCGTTCTCTAAGTTGATCAGGTTCACGTTTACCAAACATTCTAATTACTGCAGGTGTTTTAAAAGCTGCACTAATTGCTGCTTGAGTTGCCTGCATTGTACAAATTATATTAGATTCTATTTTACATATTGCATTATAATTTATTATATGAAATATTTTTATATATACCAATTGCATTGCTCCAAACTGATTGATTAGAGTCATATTTCCAGAAATCATTCTTTGTAATGATTCATTAAATTCACGTAGTTGTTCTATGGTTTCTTTTTCCGTTTCTTCATATTCCTCTTCAGTCATTTCATCTCTGAGAAAAAAAAAATTATTAATAATATAAATATATTTTATTTACTTATATATTATTCTCTTACTTGCATTCTTCAAGATCCTCTAATTGTTGCACTAATCTATCAAGTTGTTCTTCCAAATTTTGTTTCAATCTTTCAGTCTCCGCTTTACCGTGTGAGCTCATTATTTATATTATTATATATTTATGTATATATATATGTATTAACTTTTCCACTAATATTAAATAATATAAAATAATTGAATATATATAATATATATATTTATATTATTGTACTTTTATTTAGAAATTATTTAGAAATGAAGCAGTGTGTATTACAGTAATTATTTGTGTCCATATTGTTTATTCATTTAATTTAAATGAAACATTTTATGCATGTTCAAAACGAAGCATATACTATCTTAATATATTGTTGTTTTTTTATGTATACATTATTTTATCTAAATTAAATATTATTATCTATTTTTTTTTTTTTTTACAGAAACGCATCAATATCAGGTTATTACATCGGATTTGTTTACATCACACTGTAGATGTCGCTGATGTTCTTTGAGTATTTAAACAAAAAACGTAAGAAAGCGGGAAAGACAGATAACTCTTAAATGATAATAGAATATTGTTTAAAGAAGAATCAATAATATTTATAAATAAAATCAAGTGAGTAGAATTTGCTTGAATATATACAAAACAAAAAATATTTCTTGCGTAATGGCGTACTTGCAACGGAACTGATAGATCAAAATCATTAGTTAAGGAACAATTTGATCTCATTACTTTACTTAATCAAATTTATAAGAATAAAAAATTGTAATCTTATATAAGATTCAAATGTATAAAACACAGTACTTCGTATTTTTTTTTAGCAAACGTAATCATGTTGTTCCTTGCTTATTTTCTGTTTTTATTTCTTTTCATTTCAAGTAAATATTTTACATTAGTTTTGCTCAATTTTTCTTAGTTTAAAAAATCATTTCTTCTAATTTATGAAGTATTATCTAAAGTAAATATTTGTTATATTTACAGATTTATCAAAAAGTTGGAGCAATGATATGCAACGTCATTTGTCAGCGGAGAAGTCTCAAGGATTCTTTTTGGCAGAAGCACTTTCAGATGTTCTCGTTAATCCAATGGGAACAATTCAAGATGATCGATCAATCATAAATAACATATTCGATCCGAATTTAATATCCGAAGATGTTACATTTGAGCTTTATACGAAAAACAATCCTGAAAAAGCATTTTTATTAAAAATGGATGATGTAACAGGATTAAAGGAATCTTCGTTTGATTCTGAAAATCCTACAAAGATACTCATTCATGGTTGGACTGACAGTACTAATACTTATTGGTTGCAAGATTTTAGACAAAATTACTTAACAGTTGGTAATTATAATGTCATTAGTGTCAACTGGTTTCCAGCATCGTTGAAAGAGTATTGGATTGCTGCTAAATTAACTCGCCAGGTTTGTTTGAAACTTATGAACTTTTATAGAAAATAAATCATTAGTTTTTACAATTCTTAATGGATGTATTTTTGATACAGGTTGGCAAGTACATAGCAGAAATGTTGGATTTTCTTGTCTTACAAGCGGGTCTCTCCTTGAACGATGTGCACATAGTAGGACATAGTTTAGGAGCTCACGTTGCTGGATTTGCTGGTATGGAAGTGTCTGGAACAATTGGAAGAATAACTGGCATGGATCCAGCTCGACCAGGTTTCGAATCTTCGAGTTTAAACGATTTAAGAATTCGTTTAGATTCTAGAGATGCCAAATTCGTGGATATCATACACACTTGTGCAGGAACGCTTGGTTTCATCAGATCAATTGGTCATGCTGATTTTTATCCGAATGGGGGAACGTTTAGACAACCTGGATGTCCCATCTTCTCAGCTCGTAAGTGATTAAATTAAAATTTTGAATACTTGTTTATATTTTTTTATTATAAATGTTAACTTATGGCTGTTGTTATCAGAATACTGCAGTCATGCTAGAGCTCACGATTTGATGGGCGAATCTATCATTAATCCGTTAGAATTCGGTGCTATTCAATGCAATAGTTGGATCGAATTTAAAGCAGGAAAATGCAAGAATAATTCGACCATGGTATTTATGGGGGAAAATGTTAATTGGAATGCTCGTGGTTCATTTTTCTTGGAAACCAACGCACAACCACCGTTTGGTAAAGGTGTTATTTGAAAAGGTATAAGAAACATCGAGAGAAGTGTTTATTTGTTAGGGTTGTACAAATGTATGTATATTTAATTAACATGTTTACAATTGTGGTACAGGGAACCACTGATTGGAAATTAATTCTTATTACGATTCATTGACAATTTGATCCTCTTCCGAAGGTTTTTCTATTTCATCTCCAAAACGCATCCTATATTTCCTACGAACGATCTCCCATTCAACGACGTTGTCAATTTTCGTCACTTGAATTAAAGATGATTGACTTTGAAAAGGACTCAAATTTAGTAAACCAAAATCAACGTCGTTCTTGTTGCGATCCGATGAAAGTATTTTATTATTCTATAAAAAGAAAAAAAATTTTCGTTAGAAATTTTGTTGCGATCCGATGAAAGTATTTTATTANTTGTTGCGATCCGATGAAAGTATTTTATTATTCTATAAAAAGAAAAAAAATTTTCGTTAGAAATTTTGTTGCGATCCGATGAAAGTATTTTATTATTCTATAAAAAGAAAAAAAATTTTCGTTAGATTCACCACACAACACCGTATAAAGTTGATTTATTTAAAACTTACTCGAAAAAATGAATTTTTGGATAGTGTACGATTCCTCATTAATCCATGCATCACGCTCATTTTCTTCATCTTATTTTTTTTCTTTGTACACATTTTTACAAGATATATTATCCACGTGGAGAAGAGATTCAACGGCGAGGGAGCAGTTCGCGTTCTCGAAGAAAGAAAAGAGCAAACAAAGGTGAAATTTGTGTTATTATTATTCCTCGTATAAAATACTTACTTTTGCATTTTACGTATAAGTTTACTGAGTCCGTATTTCCATTCAATATCACTTTGCGATTGGATACTTTGATAAGTATCACTCATCATAGCAATTAGAAGATTGATCAGGACAATAACGGTGACCAGCATGTATAAAGAGAATGATACCTAAATAATAAACGTTTATTAAATTCAATTATTATTATATTATGATAAATAAGTCTTTAAAAAACAAATCATCAACCTTGAATAGATATATCGTCCATTTTGGTTGCAACTGTTGCCTCCCTGTAATCGTGAAATCGTCGGTATCCTTTTGCCCAAAGATCGCGAAGAAAAGATTTTCCGTAATTTCGATGGGATTGACTTTGACTGAAAAAAAATCAAATTTGTTATAGAATTGTTCCTCATTAACATGAATATTGTAAAGAGAAAGATTTCTCGCAACGATCCTATGTGTCTACTGATATCCTACGTTCCTAATTTCTTAATGATCTAAGCGTTGATTTGTCGCATAATGATTGATTGATTCATTTCCATCGTACTGATTGATTTCATTTTTTTTTTGTTTAAGTTAAAGATCATTCATTCGTAATCGATTGATCGTTTCTAATAAACCTAAATAACATGCGATGATATGTGTAAGAATAAATGTTAATTAAATCGTAGTAAATACATAAGAGAAATATATTTATGAATTATAAACGTTTAAATGCATGAAAGTGATATTAAAAAATGTGAGCACAATGATCAATTAGCACAGCGTTGAGAACAGTATAACTACTTACATACATTTTATATAATAATTAGATAAATGTAGACACATCGCGTGTGCATGATGAAATGAAAATTCTTTTGAGTTCTTTGTGGGTTGAGGGCGGGCGGGGGAAGAGAAAGGGGGCATGAAAATTGAAGAATACCAGCTGACAAGCTTCGAAATTTCGCATGCCACATCGAGAGTAAATTACGCTACGTGAAATACTACAGGCAAGTTTGATACACTCATAATTGTTCAATGGCACGATCAGGGATGCATTCTAATTACGTGACCAATTTTAACAACGTTTCGTTCTTAAAATCACTTCTTGTGAGTAACGTCAGCACATTTTGCAGTGCATGCATTACTACTCATTACATTTTTATGCAGCCTCAATTCTACCTTCAAATACAAATAGAAATCGATTATAAAATTCATAACAGAGAGATAAAATAATATAAAATTGTGTATATATGTAGGATTACATATTACAATTTGACTAACCGTAACACATAACTTGAGGTGGTTCCCTAAGCAGACAGGTATTTCCATGGTAGCCTCTAAAATATGTTACACGTAATCGATTAGATCGTGGATCGACGTGGGATTAGGCGTAATGAAAACCGTACACCACTAATACAAATCGAGATCTAATCGTTTATTTGAAAAAAAAAGAAAATAAGATCTTAAGTCTTAAGTTCATACGAACGATAAAAAGTACAAATAATTATCTAGTCGATCAGAGATTAATTTAAAAGTTCCTCTTCAATTGATCAGGCATTTGGTAAACCAGAAGTTTCGTTTCTAGTTGGACCGGTTGATGATGGTTCCTCAAAGGCAGCTAAAAGATCCGTTTCTATAGCTTCTTTAGCTTCTTCGGCGACTTTCTCAACATTGTCACCATATAGATCACGATATTTTCGTCTGACAACGTCCCAGTCCACAACATTGTCGATTCTAATCGCATTGTTGAAAGATAGTTGACTTCCTAATGGACTCAAGTGTACCACAGACAAAGCCACGCTGTCCTTGTGCGTTACTTGTGTCTTCTTCACCTTTGAAAGCCACTTTGCACCCATTCTCGAACGTGGTGACATTCTGGTCCTTTGCAAGCCCATCATATGCATCAAGGATGGTCTTTGTTTTTTCGCCGCACGTTTTTTGCAGACTTTGAAGAAGTATGTTAGCCAAGTAGTTAAAAGATTTAGGGGTGACGGCGCCGTAGTTGTCCTATTTCGTCAAGAAAGATTATCAATTTTGGTGTAACAGTGTGCATCATTTAAGGAACGAATAAATGAATGAGTAAATGAATGTATGATTGAGAAATTCAACTAACGAAGCTTAGTTTAAACTCGCTATCGTTACCTGTGCATATTTCTAACGAGTTTGCTCAATCCGTATTTCCATTCGATATCAGATTGAGCTTGTATCCGTTGATAAGTGTCGCTCATCATGGCGATCAGGAGGTTTATCAATACGACCACCGATACCAACATGTAAATTCCGAAGGCGAGCTTGAATAGGACCGTGGTCCAATCGGGTTGATTAGGTTCGACTTTGAACTGCTCATGAGTTGTCTGTCCGAAGATGGCGAAGAATAATAATTCAACTGCTAGTATCGGGTTCATCCTGACTGGAAATACGTGCCAACAAAATATCTGATAAGACAAATCGACGCGAGAAATAAATAAGCTTATACATCATACAGATAATTTATAAAAAAAACATTCTCTTGCATTGTTTACTCTCTGACATGTGTCATGCCAGTGCCGGCTAACAATTGTTTAAAATTATTTTGGTGATGATCGTTAGTCGTTCTAAGGACCTACGTTTTTGATTTTTTTTTTTTACGTCAATGCATTCACACACTATAGGCTCCTTTCGTTCCTGCCGAATACATGAGAAAAAATCAATCTGCACGTAACTTAGGACATGCATTATACGTCAAACAGATGAGATAAGACCTAAATTTCGTTTTTTTATTTTTTTTTAAGGATATGTTCCTGTGCCACATACAATGAAATGTCGAGTTAGTGTAGATGATTCGATGCAAACGATCTGAAACGCACGTTTTTGGCCATGCTGACTGAGTAGGACGCAATCCCAAACCCGTAAAAATAAAAGTGACATTTATTTGGTATAAATACAGGCACATGTAGGCTACGTAACGTAGACTTACTTAGCTTCTAAAATCATATAGTCGATCATCCTTCGAAAAGCTCGTTCACTCTCATTCCTTTTGTCTCTTTTTCTATCTCTCTCTCCTCTTCTTTTTTATTTTTTGTTTGTTTGTTTCTTAGTCAGCTACATAGACCTAAAATTATTATCTTAATTTTCACGCTCGCGAGAAATTACATTTATATAGGTGAGGTAGTCATCGTAGTTGGAACCATCGAAGGATTTGAAACAGTAGGTCCATAATCGTCCTCGTTATCATTATCATTGTCCTTGTCATCCTTATCTTTATCTTCTTCTTTTTCAGGCTCGTTTCCGGTCAAAGCAAGATACTTTTTCCTTATCGAGTCCCAATCAACGACACTCTCGATTCTGGTAGCACTGTTAAATGACAATTGACTTCCTAACGGACTCAAATGAACTACCGAAAGTGCCACACTGTCTTTAGGTCGAACCTGTCCCTTCTTGACTTTGGCCAACCACTTTGCACCCATCTTGGATCTTGGGGACAATCGACCGGTACGTTGAAGACCCATCATGTGCACCAGTGACGGTCGTTTGCGTTTAGCAGCACGTTGTTTGCATACCTTGATGAAGTACACGATCCAGGTTGTTAACAAGTTTAACGGGGATGGAGCTGTGGTAGTTCTGCAACATGGAAAGGTGTTGTCAATGTGTTCTAACGTTAGCAATCTCACTCAGTGGATTGTAAAGAAAATAAAAGATCTATATCATCGTTCTAGGCTAAATTTGATCAGGTAAATGAAACTAAAGATTTTAGTTGCGATAAGATAAAATATTAATTGAAATAATAAATAAAAATGTCAGGCTTACCTGTGCATATTACGGATCAATTTACTCAGACCGTATTTCCATTCAATATCTGACTGTGCCTGTATCCGTTGATAGGTGTCGCTCATCATGGCAATAAGAAGATTAATTAACACCACTACTGAGACCAACATGTACACGCCGAAGGTCAGCTTAAAGAGGACCGAGGTCCAGTCCGGCTGATTGGCCTCGACTTTGAGCTCGCTGTGTGTTGTTTGGCCGAAGACAGCGAAGAATAGATACTCGAAGGCAAGAATAGGACTCATCTTTACTGGAATTCGAGGTACACAGAGGCATCTTGATTTTCTTTATCTTTTCTTTTTGCAGTCTTTCTTTTTCGCTTGCTTTTTCGTGCCATGGCAGGCTGGTGGGGCTACTTGGTGGTACTCACTACGAATTGACTCGCGTGTTTTTTTTTTTTTATCATAACGAATACATACACACGAATGAACGAACGAACGAACAAACATGCTTCATGCTTTATTGTTTATACGGATTGTGGGGTCATGCTCGGGCTGAATATAACACGTTGAGTTCATGCCAAATTTTATATTGATTTTATTTTATTTTTTATTTTTTTTGTCCTGGATTTTTATATACTTTCTTCTTCTCTACGCATAGCATGCGTCACGTGTATTTATGTTATATATATATTTTTTTTTTCAGCTAAAATCGAAGATGCTTCAAGATGCAGAGATCCTTTTGAACACAGAGCCAGCCACACTTTCATCGAATCCCAATCGATTCTTTCGATTTTATGGTAAATCCCTTTTCTAGATGATCCTCACACTTCCTGCGTTTTTTTTTTTTTGATAATGAAAAACGCGTGCCGGAATACACCACGATATATAGATACGTGTTTGGTATTGGTATTGCTGTGAGTGAAAGGATGCAACATGCAAATTATTAGATCATGTTTTTTTTTTTAACATCTGCATCATCCAAAAATCTCATTGATATGATAGTAGAGATGATGATTCTTGGCTTTTCAAAATGATTCAAAATTTATGTTAAATGCGATGAGAAATATGCATGCAAATAGTTTTTTTTTTTTATCATGAAATTGCCTTTTATCAATAATGTTCAACGTACCCAGTTTTTTAGTCAACAATTGGCCTTCGACAAAATCGAAGTTAGGTCGTAGTACAACACTTGGGAAAGAGGGTTTTTTAATTTTTTTTTTTTAAATATGGAATCGAACGTAAAGATAACGATAATTTTCGCATTTTAAAAAAAATTCCTTTCTCTTGCCATTTTCTTCTTTTTTGTTTTCATTATTATCTTTACAATTAATATAGTCGTAAAACGCGAGTTACGGTTCTTCGACGAAAAAAACGCGTAAAAACGTATTATATAGTTATAAAAAATACGGATGAACACAGAAAAAAATCGAGGGAAAGAAAAAGGGGTTAAAGAGAGACAGGGGTTTGATTGGTTGCAAGTAACACGGCACATAGAAAATTGGCGTTCCGACGACATGCCGACAGTGAATCATAGCTCTGAATTGTTTATCGTGATTTACATATAAAACGTACGCTGCGTTTCGGAAGTACTTTGTGTGTGTGTGTGTGTTTTATATTTTAAATAATAATAACAAGTTACAGTTCAAATTTTCCTGGTAAATAAATAAATGTTTTTGGTGATTTTGTGGCAGATTACAAAACATAGAAGGATAATCATGGAGTCCTGCGAAAGTATACAGAAAAAGAAGAAGAAGAAGAAGTAAACAAAAAATAAATGTTATTAACAAATCGTCCCTGTCCGAATCGCAGCGAAAATGCACGGATGGAAAAAGAAACACAGTTCTCGTCGATTTTGCAGAATATTTGCTGTTATCAGGCAGCACAGTCTTTGCAGGCAGCACACACACAGACATATGGCGTACATCGGTCAAGATGCACAATGCAGAAAACGGGACGACACTGACATCGAGCGTGTCCTGCATTCCAAATTTTGTTTTTGCGCACGTGCCACTTTGTTGCAGTTTTTTTTTTAATATATTTTTTTTTTCATATTATCATTGTTCTCAATTTGCTGCTTTTGTCATTCCTGTCGATCTGTCAAAACTTACTCTCTCGGGAGTTATCGTCACAACATTCATTCTTTTTCCTGAAGCGGCCGAAGTGACGAGGATTCGCCGCCGCTGATGGCGTCTCCATATTCCATTCCGAAGTTATATTCACCGACAAATCTATCATTGTAATTTTGTTCCAATTACGCCATTGTCTCGTCTCAAACATCAACATTATTTCGACCACATTCCTATTATTTTCATTCGAACGTATAATAATTTGATTTAAGAGTTTTAATCAGTTTCATTAGTCACTGAAAAGTTTCATATAGTATATATATACCCTCCCTAGTTTAATTTTTTTCCCCATTTGGTATATATATATATATATACATACTTATAAATATATACACGAGTAAAGTATAGTAACATTTGCATATTTCACGTATCCGAGAAATCATCGATTGTTAATCGAACATGAAATTTTCTAAATAAAATAATTATCGTTATAAATCAAAGTGAACTACGAATTACCAGAAGAAGCACGGATGATCTGCTACAGAAAACAGTGTCTTTTGCTTCATAATAATTAATTGGACGTCAATGAGACGTACCAATGAGAAAAGCACTCGCTACGTCGTAGTAAAATAATTCTGTATTTTATATTTTTGTTTTTTGTTGTTGTTGTATTAATCAATTAATTGGCCTTCAAGCAATTTTCATTTCTAAAATCTAAAACCTACGTTAACATCTACGGCCGCTCTACCATCTATATATGCGATCATATTAACGGATAAATATAAGAAAAAGAATATTATGATAAATAAATTTGTAACTTCGGCAGTAAAATTTGTATAGAGCGAATATAAGATAAAATGAAACGCTCTAAGAGCTGGCTCGGATCAAGCCACTCATCATATAAGTGCATTGTAACTTACCGTCGTGAAATGCATTCTTCTTTTCCTTGTCCTTTTGGATAGCTTCCTGAAGATTTGCATGGTTTTGGAATGCTTGATTGAGAGCTACGAAGTGCATGGAAAATCCAAAGACGAAGATAGCCAATACTGCGAGAAACCTGGCGAGATCCTTCATGAGATTGCCGATGATGATGGCCCATGGTCCGAAGAGATGATGGAACGATAAGAAGTCCAAGATTTGAACGCAAGCTAACAGGAAACTCAATGCGAACAGTTGATTTCTTAGATAGAGCAACGTTGGCCAATGGATACGTTTGATTATGACAAATCCCATAAGATGAAAGGCCACACCGAAGATACCAAAGAGAAGTACTGCTAGTTTAATCCATCCAAGACCACTTTTATCACTGGGATTGGTCAGTTCGAATAATAAAAGACCCGATAGCATCACCAAAAGACACCACTCGTACCAATAAGGTAAGAGATTTGGTCTTACGACTGGATATATTGGGGTTATTCCAACCAGCATCAGAAAAACCATCAGATAAATGTGAGACGTCAGATAGGACATGAATTTGATGATAGGTACGTTATTGTACTTGTGACCAAGTGGTAAAGCAAAAACTACCCATACTGGTGGACAGATCAGGAATGCTATGAAAAGTAGGATCGTTCTGAAAGCGTTCCAATTTAGGCTACCTTGCCAAAGTTCTTGTAGATAACGTTGCACAACTGTATGAGCTATCACCTCCTTCTGTTCATTTTCAATCAACACATCCAAAAATTCAACGTTTCTTCGATCCATCGACGTTAAAATTCTACCAGCCGAGTCGGCACCTGCTGCTAAAGCCAATAATTCAGTTGCCATAGCTTCGCATTGTTTTCCAGCTGCTATCAAATCTTTTGCACGTTCTTTTTCCTTCTCAGATAATTTCATATAAATGTTAGATAGTTTGGCAGCGGTATCTACAGGTGCTGGAGAAACCAGAACGAATTCTTCTATGGGTTTGTTGTTGTTACTCTTGCTGCAAACCATCATGTTGTAGACGAACTAAAATGAAAAGAAATATAAAACATTGTTAGATAAATGAAACGTGATATGAAAGAACAATTTTTATTAATTGGATCCATATAAATCGTTCATAATAATACGTACTTTAAATTTAATAGCATTTTGTAAGATTTCATTTCACAAGTTAAGAAAGAATATTCGATAAAAGGTCATAACTGCAATACCATATCGCGTGTACGAGTCGCGTTAAGTGCTAAGTTATTACTTTGAAATATCGATTTTTAACAATGAGAAAAGTTTTCTTTAAAAAGATAAGCGTTAAGAGGATAATCAGGGTGTGGTTCTCTAACATCTTTTTTATCATTGGCCTTGTTAAAACCAAGAAAAAAAAAACTTTACCCTTCTGTCTTCCATAAGTGCATAAGTGTCGTGTTCCTTTTCCATTAAATATTTCAAAACGTCATTATGGCCTTCGGAAGCAGCGAACCAAATCGGAGCACAGCCAAGGTTTGTCTCGCTTTTTGGTGAAGCTCCACTTTCAACGAGTAATTTGACAACCTCGAGGTAACCGGCACGTGCAGCACAGTGCAATGGAGTCCAACCATTCTTATCTGTCGCATTTATTTCTGCTCCTTGACCCAACAATACTTCGACCATTTGATAATGTCCATGTGTAGCTGCTATATGCAATCCAGTTTTCCCGTAACGATCGGCACTATGTAATAATTCAGCCGATCTGCTTAATAAAAGACCAACCACTGTTATGTGTCCACCAAAACATGCCAGATGTAAAGGGTTAAATCCATTTTCAGTTGTCGCTGCTTCTACCTAAAAATATCGATCGTTATTTGTACTATTTGACTTTGTTTAGGTGTATTTTAGGTATTAAATTGGTATTATTGATTACCTGTACTCCAGCAGAATTTAAAAGTAATCGGACGACGTTTTCATTTCCTGAATAAGCTGCCAGGTGAAGGGGTGTCATACCAGATTCACTTCCTAATTCTCCTACCAAGGAACCACCAGTTGGTGGATCGGATTTGACAGTTCCAGGAACGTTTGTCAATAATTCTCTGACAGTGTCTAGAAAAAAGAAATGAATCGAATCAGTGTTAGTTCCTTTTGTTCATAGAATTTAGGTCGGCAGATATTTGAGGTGACAAGATACAAACGATTAACGTGACTGGACTGAACAAAACGGTACTTAAACATTCTTGCACGAGCGAGTTATGCAGTTTCTAAGTTCGTGACCAGCAACATCTAAATCTTATACTTTGAGATCAGGAATTTACGATTAGGTAGAACAAATGGTCTTGAACTTTTGACCGTCGCATTAAGTTTTAAAATAAAGCTTGAACACAATTGGTCGATTTTTCTTAGAAAGTCATGTTAGTTTTATATTATAATCCTGGGGAAATTCCTATGAGCAAGGAAATTTCTCGTTTAATCGTTTGATCGTGTTTTACGCGAGCACACGATAACTATTATTTTATTCGAGGAATGTTGCAACAACAATCTTTTATTGTTTTTCTTTTTCTTTTAAAAAATAAGTGAAACTATTTGTTACCGAATTAACGATTACTTTTCTTTAGCACGAAAAAGATTGTACCAATGGATAAATTTCAAAAGAAAATCTATGCAACGCAACAAAATAGTTTTTCGCGTGACCATATTCGTCGTCAGCGAGGAAAGTCTCACTTTCGGCGACATTACCGATCACTACTTTTGACTTTAGACCATAGTCGAAATAGTCACGCGAAAATCCTATCCCTCAATGTACATATGTCAAAATACGAGCAGTAAGAAGGGTATGGTGAAAAACGATTTGCTGGAATCACGCATGGGTATGATGACCCTTTTTCTAACTGAAGCCAAACCCAAATGTTTCGTACCAGTTACCGTTGATAGATGATAGTTAAATACACGAATAATACTGCAGTTTTAGTATGATAACTTATAGATTAAAGCATGTTAGGGAAACTTTTCAGTTGAACTAAACTACCGACCGAGTTTTGCAATTGACTATCAATTGATTTAATAGCTTTAGGAAGATTAGAAAATTATATTAAATGGGCTTACCAGCTTGGCCAAAATAAGCAGCAACGTGGAGCGCAGTAACACCCAATTTCTTGCTTGAAATTCTTAATGATTGAGATGATCTCATCACTTCCAAAACTTGTCCGTGTCCGTGTTGAGCTGCCAAATGTACCGCGGTAAACCCAGCACGATTTTCATCGGCACAGGAAGCACCAGCTCTTACCAAAGCTTTCACTACTTCCGCATGACCACCTTCTGCAGCTAGTTGAAGTGGTGTTGCCTCGGTTAACTTGTTTCTCGCTGATATTACACCCTGACGATCGAATTTCATAAGTTCCTCAATCACTCTAACGCTTCCTTGCATTGCTGCTATATGGGCACACGTGTTTCCATCTTTCGTGCATGCCATCACCAAACTTGGATGTCTTTGTAGGAAAAGTTGAGCAACTTCGGCATAATTATTCATGGCAGCTGCATGAATCGGCTTTTGTCCTTGATCGTCGGTAGCATCTATGCTAGCACCAAGTTCCAATAAAAGTTTGCACACTTCCAATTGGCCAGCACCTGCTGCCAGATGAAGAGGTGTTTGTTTTCTAAGTGTAAGCACATCTATCGCAGCTCCATGATCTTGAATGAGAAATCTGACCAAGTGGGAATAGCCGTTCATTGCTGCCAAATGCAATGCCGTTCTACCAACGCGAGATTTAGAATTGATAAAGGCTTTGTTTGCCAATAAGGCATCGCAGACTTGAAGATAACCATGTTCCGCAGCTAAATGTAGGGCTGATCTACCCTCCAAATCGAAAACATCTACCCTGGCATGATTAGCTAAAAGATTTGTCACCAATTCCATGTGACCACGATGAGCTGCTATCAAAAGAGGTGTCCAACCAACCGCACTTTGTCTGTTCAAAGCTTTCTGAACTTCCGTTGCCGACATATGGCTTATCATTTCTGATAATACTTCGTTATTTCCGACTAAGGCACAATGATGAAAAGCAGATTCTTGTGCTTGTCTTGTTTGCAACGAGACATCAGCACCTCCTTCTAAAAGTGCACGTACAACTGCACGATCATCACCCGGTACTACAACTTCCGATGGTTCTATTTGAGCGGCATAATGCAAGGCACTGGCTCCTTCATTCGTAACGCTGTTCACGTAAGCTGTTGCCACTTCTGGTCCTTTGTTTTGTTTCACAAATTCGATCAGATGACGGACTACGTCTGCTCGGCATCCTCTGCAGGCCAAATGCAAAGGCGTTTCACCGTTCTAAACAAAACAACAAACAAAAACGTACGAATAGAATCGTAATATCAAAAATAAAAATGAAAAACTAACTGGGCCTTTTCAATACGATGCATCTGAACATATATCTGCCTGTGAATTATAAAAATACGTACATCAGTGCCATCATTGAGTGTCTAGTATGTTTTTGTTGTGCAATAATCGTTGAAACATAAATAAGAGTAACTCAAATGTTGAATAGTTCTCGTACTTTAGACTTGAACATAGGATCACCGCCGTCTTCGAGAAGAAGCAACAAAGTTGCCAAATTCCCATGGCTGGCAGCTACGTGAACAGGTGTTTGTCCATCGTCCGTCGTCAAATTGGGCCCAGCTCCGGATTTTAATAACATCAATGCACACCTATCACCGTCTGGAACCCGTGCTGCTATATGAAGTGGTGTCTCTCGAAGTTTGCCACCCCTAACGTGTACCTCAGCACCATAACCCAACAAAGTTTCAACTACTGCCGGTTTGGCACTTTCCACGGCTATGTGCAATGCCGTGTAATTGTCGTTAGTTGTTGCATCCACCTGCCAAGATTAATGTCATACCAATATTGTTTAATTTCATCGATTAATTTGTCTGTTTGAACAAACATAATTAGAGGAGATATAATTGACCTTTTCTCCTCTTTGTAGAAGTGTACTGATGATTCCCACGTGACCATATTTAGCTGCAGTGTGAATAGATCTTGCTCCACGTTTGTTGGGCATGTGCAAGTACACGCCCTTTTTAAAGAGCATCGTTGCACATTCCGAATGACCGTTCAAAGATGCTATATGCATTAGGGTGGAGCCGTCTTTCGTTCTCTCGAAGATGCTGGCCTTGAATTTATCGGCAAGCAATTCAATTATCGTGGCGTGACCATTTTCCGCAGCTAAGTGCATAGGAGTTCGGTCTTGGTGGTCAGCGATCGATGCGGATGCTCTGACACCGTAAAAATACTTCACCAAAATCTCATCACCCTCGGCACTTGCGATATGTAACGCCGTTTGACCTTCACCCTGTTGCAATTGATAGAATCTATTTTTTTTTTAGAACCTACGAAGTGTCTCCTGATAGATCTTATGAACAACTAAAGACCTAATCTCGGACTGGACTGGACTGGACTTGAACTCGTATACGCACTGCGACGATTAGGCTCATACATTACGCATGCATACCCTTCAACCCTCCCACCATTAACGACAGTGATTAAATATTCGTAAGTAACGTAATTCGGTGTGTGTGGGCAGGTTATAAAAAAAATGTTAGTAATAATCTTAAGTCAAAATGAATGATGACTTTTTCTTTTTCATTACGCTTATGAACATGCATTTCTTGAGGTGGTAAATGCCTAAGGTAATGAAATTGGAATGGGTCGATACAACCTACGTGAAAATGTGATTATCATTTGTCGTAAAGTTAAATCGTGAAACTTGTTGCTCTATGAATTCCAATTGTATTTTGATTTTGAATTAACATACATTTTGCATGTCCACAGGTGCACCGTAATCAACCAGAATTCGAACCATATCGATGTCCCTTCGTCTAGCAGCCAAATGAAGGGCCGAATCTCCAGCTGGTGTGGTAGCACGAAGTTGATCTGGTGCTTGTTGAGCTAATAATTCACGACACATGGATTGATTGCCAGCCTCGACTGCTAAGAGAAGTGGTATCTTTCCTCTCTGTTTAACAATTATATTTTCTTCATCAACATTGTATGATAAATCAATTTTTATTTCGACAGAATACAAGAAAACCAACGAACGTGATTCTCCTCGTAAAAGTTTGGCAACGTTGATCGATATATTTTATGGATAATGTTTATGACAGTCGTGTCATCGATACGAAATTGGTATGAAAAGTAGGGAAAAGAAAGAGACCAAGAGAATAAAGAAAAAGTGAAGAAGAGAGAAGGGTAGGTCGGTGCCAGGCAGCGATGTTCACCGATTTGCAAGGCTCGTGTCACGCGAGTAACAAACATGGATCGTTGAGAAATGTATTCTTTTCTTTTTTTCTCATTTTTTTTAATCTTCTCCCAATTGGAACTTTAGTAAGAATTAAGTTGAAATCGTACCTTCGGTGCAAGGAATTACACGAACGTTCCACTTTTTAACTTTGAAATAAGTATCATTGATCTTTATTAGGAAAACAGGAAAATCAATGGATCATGTTCCATTGAACTTTGAGTTTGGAAACAATTCCTGATGCCATTTCTACTTACACCATCAACTTTCAATCTGATGTCTTTTCCTGCCGCAGCTAACAATGCTCGTAAAATAGACGTTGCCGTACCAGTTTGCCTAGATGCAACCAAATGAACTGCAGTTTGTTGTCTCGTCTAAGAATTCATGAAATATTTTTTGTCATAGATCCTATTACAATTAAGGGTTTGCTCAACTTAGTTTTGTTTAGAAATTCTTACCCCTCCTGTAGCATAAGGATCAACACCTTTTTTCGAAAGAAGCAACTTTACCACGTCTTCCCTCGAGTACATAGCAGCAATGTGCAAAGCATTGTAATTGTCCTAAAACAAAAAATGCCATAGTTTCTTTCGTAGTAGTACCAATCTTTTGTATAGTAGATTAATTCATAAAGAAACATTTCCTAAAGTAATAAAGCAACACGATCGTAAATTGTGCTTGGCCGCGCCCAACAACATTAATCGGACGTACTACCACAACCAATGGTGGGTTTCAATCACGGTTTATTAGCGTGCAATTTTGAAAATTATATTGGAGGGCGGTGGCCCGTGGTCGATATTAGACCAAGGAGTTACTATATTTCTATCTTTAACATAAATATGGTAATTCTATCGAATTCCTTCTAAATCTTTTCAACTATTTGCACGATATCCTTTTTGCAAAAAGAAATTCATTTTATCGTGATTTCAATTCGTAGGACCTAAATGTTCAATTTATTAACATACAATGTTGGTAATGTTACTTTGATAAATCTTCAAGTTAAGAATTTCGATCAGTAGACTATTTTTTATCTCTGTGCTTGATTATCGGATTTCCCTTTTTTTTTGTCCTACTAAACTGACCGGCGTCCTAGTTGCTTACTTACATACTCTTTTGTCGGCTCGAACAAGCTCCTTGGCCTTGGCCCTTCTTCACGCAATCTTACCACCCTCTCACGACTTTGCTCGGATTCGAGGTAGATCATTAACTGTACACTTTCCGTGTCTAACTTTACCCCCTTTACCAACTCATGCTGGTCAAGCGATATTATTATATACCAGTATACTACCACCCCATACACGTAAAACGCGAACTAATCTTAATGGCAATGTCATTGTATGATCTAAACTAACTATTTTAATTTTGGGGTAATTTTAAACTCGTCAAGGGAAAATTGTGCTTGTTCGATTTTACAATTCTTTTAAAGAACAAAATAAATTCATGGTCGTGGGGACAAATTATTTATTAGTTACTTGCATTGTTACGTGCACCAACGTCTGCACCCAATTCTATCATCCTGTCCAATAATCCTGTACGATTATCCTTAACTGCATGCATCAACGGTGTCATTCCAGTCGTCTGTTAATAAACGATTAAACATTTGTTATCATTAATTGATAAAAAAAAAATAATGTTACATGAAATATACAAACCGGGTCCATAAGACCAGCCAGGGGTGCAATGAAACCTTCCTCGGCAGCATTTTGTACCGCCTTTTCCATAGATTTGAGCAATTGGTCAACGGGTGGCCATTCTCCCCGTGCAGCAAGTGCCAAAAGTCTTTGGGCACCTTCCCTAGCAGTAGCACCTGCCGAACCAGGTTTGCTACCAGGTTGGGATGGTTCACCGCTTGCACCACCATTACTACCGGTTGATATCGATGCACCATCATCTTTACCACCAGCTGGACTATCTTCTTTACTTGCTGTATTCTTCTTGTCTTCTTTGTTGCTTTGTGATGATCTCTTGTTACTGCTCATGTTACGTCAAACATGGTTCTCGGATAAAGTTTTTTATCCACGTTTAACGTGACAATGATGATGATCTTTTATCTCGAATGAAAATCTATTCAAATTGATTGCAACAAATTCTTGTATATTTTATAATAATATCAAATTGTTATCACGTTTAATTATGTATCATAAGTAATATCAGTGTCGTCCAGGATTCTTCATAACCCCGTGTTTAAAAGGACTCGTCCTACCACCACGACAATCCTGACGATTCTAAAGACGAACCCCCGTTCAAGCCGAAGGAAAAGTAGAAGGGTTGTTCTCCGACGTTTGTAGGAGAATCGACCAATCGTGGTAGTTCGTTAAGGTAGTAACTGTAGTAACCAACACCAAGAAACATTTATACATGATATTCTATGCTTTTTCTCAGTGTGTTCTCTCGTGACTAAATCGTTGTTACCTGTACAGGTATAGTGTTGAGGAAAGGTGCTGAGATTGTGTTAAAGTAGTGGTGGTTCATAAGGAGGTTGTGCTTTTACACATACACATAACGTATATATGCATACATCGACACAGAAAATGAAAGAGAGAGAGAGAGAGAGAGAGAGAGAGAGAGAGAGAGAAAGGGTTGTTTGAAGTTAACGTCGACACGCGACTTCCGGACCGAAATGTCGGCACGCTATTTCTAGTACGACCTCCCTTTATTTATTTATGTATTTATTTATTTTTCTTCTTCTTCGATATCTCGTAGATTTTAAAAAATTTTTTTTCACGATGAGTCAGGGTCCATCATTTCATTTTTTTTAATTTTCTATTGCATCAATGATAATATTATTTATTAATTATGTAAATAGTATAGTTATGATTATATTATTTTATTTTTTAATTTTTATATTATGAAGTATGTTGAAAAATAATTTATATACGTTTTGTGTTGTGGAGTTTCCACTATGTTAAAAATAAGTTGCAATTGTAATTACATTATTATTTTTTTAATCATTTTTTTGTTGTTTTTTAAATTTTGTTTTACAATTAAGTGTCCTTGGAACTAATCGAGGTGGTCAATGATTATTTATATAATAACCAGGTACATTGAATTAGAATGCCCAGCTGTTTTGCATAAGTATACGTAGATAATTACATAATATACATGTATATATACATAGATAATGAGCTATAAATGAAAGTATAAAGATACTTTCGAAGATGATCTCATTTGCTTTGGTGGCTACATGTGTGATCATGCGTTTTAGTTTACAATGAGAGTCTTTAGAGTTAAGGTCTTCAATTACGAAGATTTCGGAAGATAAACATTTAATAATTAAATTACAAAAAGAAAATAAATTTTTAAATGTGAAGTTTATCGGTTATTTAAAAAAAAAAAAATACTTATCAGTTATGTTGAAGTAATTTACTATGTAAAAGTTTATCATAATAATAAATTTCAGTCCCAATCATTGGTTAAACGATACTAATGACTAAATTAAGTAGATGCAATAAAAATGATTTTCATTATTCTCAAGGATAGTTTTTAAAAAGAACGAAGTTCACTAATTGAAAATGATAATAAATTCAAGGCAACTAATCTGTTGTATAATACACGATAAATAAATGATATAAATACAGATATATTTCTCATTCAATTCGTGAACGTACTTTGTTTAATGCATGTGCTCTGATATTTTCCTTAGTTAGTGATAATTTCATTATCTATAAGATAAGCTTGTTGAAGATACACAAAAAAAAATTAAGAATAAAGTAGATACACTACAAATATTAAACAGAGTGCATGTTTTTATTCTGGCAAGCATCATTAATTAATAAAAAATGTTTCGAATGAAATATTTATTATTTAACAATAGTCAACGAATAATTCCACAAGTGAAACATTTGTCTGTTTTATATCATTCGAATATTAAATTAAATGGTAAGTGAAATCAAATTTAAATTGTATTTAATTAACGTTTATTTATAAATAATACAAAGTGTGTTTTTTTAGTTTCAAAGTGTTCAACAAAATTATTATGGACCGTTCAAAGTAGACACCTGTGTAACATTCGTGTCATTGATAAACAATCTTCTTACATCAATCATCGTGGAAATAAACCATTGAGAGAACAAACGATCGGTAAATTGTTAGAAGAAGCTGTTGAAAAATGGCCAAATAATGAGTGTATCGTTTCCGATCATCAAAATATTCGATTAACTTATTCCGAAGTGCTTCGTCGTGTTGACAAATTGGCTGCCGGATTGAAGAAATTAGGATTGAAGAAAGAAGACAGAATTGGTATATTTGGACCTAACGATATTGAATGGTTCATTACATTTCTCGCTGCTACCAGATTGGGCCTTATCACCGTTGCTCTTAATTCGGCATATCAACAAGATGAATTAATTTATTGTTTAAATAAAGTTGGAGTCAAAGCTATTGTTTCAGCGGTACAATACAAAAAGAATAATTATACGGAAATTATTTTGGGTGCTAAGAAAAGTTGTCCAAATTTAGAACATGTTATCATTTGGTCAGAGGATCATGTGACGTAAGAATCAACGTTTAACATTTATCAAATTTATTATTATATATACTGTATTTTTTGTCAGCTTTCTTTTTATACGTGACTTGCAAAATTATATTTATTTTTATTTGATTTTAATACAAATTATATTTCTTGGTAATTCGAGTTTCTTGATGTTCAGTAATATCATGGATAAATTGTAACAGGAAATATTTAATTAAGTTAATGAGATAGAAGTAAAAAAAGAAGGTTGATTCTCGATCGATTAGAAAATGTGAAGGTGACATTAAGTAATCGATTACCTTGTCGTTTTCTCAGTGGTACTCGTCGTTGGTTAGATGTAGAATTCTTAGCAAGCAAAATCGAGGTTGAAGCTGTCTCTGCAGAACAAGGCAACGTCTCCCCTTACGACGCCTGTAACGTACAGTTTACTTCCGGAACTACTGGAAAACCGAAAGCCGCTTTACTGTCTCATAGATCCTTGGTGAATAATATCGAACGGGTAAGAATTAATTGCTCTACTTGTACTACATTGTGTTGAATGTTTATTTCATTGTTTTTATTTTAAAGGGAATGATTAGAGCAGAGATAAAACCTGGTTACAAAAGTTGTTTAAACGTTCCATTTTTTCACGCATTTGGATTACTTTTTGGACAAATAAATACCCTAGTATCAGGTTGTACATTAATTTTAGAATCTCGTTCGTTCAATCCAGTCAAATCTATACAAGTTTTGGCTAAAGAAAAATGTGATATAACTTATGGAACTCCAACTATGTGGGTAAGATCATTTTTCTATTTAATTTTATCTCATAAAAATCAATGCACACATTTTATCATTGTTTTCTTTTTTAGATAAACATGATAGACGTTCAACAACAATTACGTTTACCTATAAGACCACATTTGGGTGTGATCGGTGGTTCACCAATATCTGCTGAAGTCTTTCGACGTATTAAAGACGTTCTTGGTATTAGTAATATGAAGGTAATAACATTAACGATTTATGATTACAAAAATCTTGCATTATCATCAATAATAATTTATTAATTATTCAATGTTATGTATCTGGTTTTATTTAAATGATTTTTTGGTATAATTAAGTATTGAGCAACATATGATAATATTTATTACAATTTGTTTATTCATACACTATGAAAAGATATACAAAAAAATTATGCCAATGCGAAGATAAATTTTAAAAGAAGGAAAAAGAGAAAGAAAGAAGTCGACGACCCTAGTGGCTCGTTGCTATCTATGCACATATCTTTGCAGCAAGCGAAACCCTCGGTTCGTATGCATAAAAGCTACTCTAAGGAGGAATATTGCCTCGCCTTTTGCTACGATCGATATTCACGAGCTTTCTTTGTAAAATGTATTTTTGGATTGAACCGATTTGAAAAGTGGATTAACCCATTATCGTTATTACTTTCTTAGAATTCAAAATGATTCATTTGTAATGATTTGAACTTTTTTATTTTTCTTTCTAATATTTCTAATCATTTTGCAATTATAATTAAAATTAATAATAATCTATTTTTTGTTTATTTTCAGACTATTTATGGACTCACCGAATTCACGGGTGTTTCTTTTCAAAGTTTACCTGGAGAGGATAGGCATTTAACTGAGAATACAGTTGGACATGTATCAGATGATGTAGAAGCTATGGTAAATTATTTCTATCATAGTTAATTATATTTTTCTCAATGTGTTTTATATATATATATATATTTTTTTTTAATTATATGAATAGGTTGTTGATAGTGATGGGAAGCCAGTGCCATTTGGAGTACCTGGTGAACTTTGGATTCGTGGTTATGGTGCTATGATTTGTTATTATAATGATCCAGAAAATACCAAAAAGTCTTTCTCAGAGGATGGTTGGTATAAGACTGGAGATCAATTTGTTTTACACTCTAATGGATATGGTCAAGTTGTTGGTAGATTGAAAGATATGATTATTCGCGGTGGAGAAAATATTTTTCCTAAGGTAATCATTTTTATTTATATAATAATATTATATTATATTACATAAAATTAATAATATTTAATAAAAATCATTTAGGAGATTGAAGACTTTTTACTTAGTCATCCAAGTATAGCAGAAGTTCACTGCGTAGGAGCTTACGATGCAGTATATGGAGAAGAAATCTGTGCATGTATACGTTTATTCGAAGGCAAGAGTTTAACTAAAGAAGAATTACAAACATACTGCAAAGGAAAAATAGCACATTTTAAAATACCAAAGTATATTGTATTCGTAGATAAATATCCAAAAACAATGAGTGGAAAAATTCAAAAGGGTAAGCTTAGAGAGGAATTAGAAAGTAAAGGAATTATTCCTTCCACGCCAAAATGAAAATAATAAAAAAAGAAAAAGAAAATTAAAGAATTGGGGAATTTACGTGTAAATTAACTTTTTAAATATTAATTTTTATATTAAATGATGATACAATTTTATTACAATTAAAATTTATTTGTCTCCTTTTCCTTTTTTCCTTTCTAATTTTAATAATATTTAAACGCGGGAAAATTTAAAAATATCGATGTGTGAAATTCAAACCATAATCGATTCTTGTATCGATAGGTAGGTAGTGTTGCGACATGTCACAAGGTGGCAGTCGAGTTACCTGTTTGGCGTCTCTCGTGAATATTTTAATGAAATAAATTATATTTTTGTTCGATTAATTTTTAAAATAATAACAATGGCTGAGTATTTGGCATCAATTTTTGGAACGGAAAAGGATAAGTAAGTGTATGACATTTATTTAATTAAACATACATTGCATATAAAGAAATGTCGTGTGCGATCTAACCTCAATCGGATGCATTTTGTACGCAGGGTGAATTGTTCGTTTTACTTCAAGATCGGTGCTTGTCGACACGGGGATAGATGTTCACGTATTCATAATAAACCAACGTTTAGTCAGGTAAAACAATAATTATTTATTATAATTATTTTTACAAAATAATATGTCAATTCCTTAAATTAAAATTAACTAATGTATTTTTTTTATCAGACCTGTCTATTACAAAATCTTTACGTTAATCCACAAAATTCAGCTAAAAGTGCAGATGGTTCTCACTGTAAGTATAATTTTATTTTTAAATGTCACATTTATTACTATGCATCTTAACATTTATTATTATAAATAATTAATTGAATTATGAAATTTTTTTTCAGTGGTGGCAAATGTATCAGATGAAGAAATGCAAGAACATTACGACAACTTTTTTGAAGATGTCTTCGTAGAGTGTGAAGATAAATATGGAGAGATTGAAGAGATGAATGTTTGCGACAACTTAGGAGACCACTTGGTAGGAAATGTCTACATTAAGTTTCGCAGAGAGGAAGATGCTGAAAGAGCAGTCAACGATTTAAATAATCGTTGGTTTGGTGGTAGACCGGTTTATGCTGAATTATCTCCGGTCACTGATTTTCGAGAAGCCTGCTGTCGTCAGTACGAAATGGGGTAATTAATTAACATTAAAAAATACTAATCTCATCAGTAAGAAATATATTTATTGTAAGGTATGTAATCTAAACGATTATTCAATTTTCAGCGAATGTACTCGTTCTGGATTTTGTAATTTCATGCATTTGAAACCTATTTCAAGGGAACTTCGTCGATACCTGTACAGTCGTAAAAGAGGAGGAAAAATTCGATCCAGATCACGTTCTCGTTCTCGAGGACGTGATCGTAAACGTAGATCTCGATCTCGTGAAAGAAGATCAAGATCTAAGGATCGTAAAAGACGAGACGATAAAGGCAGGGATGGACGATCTGGACGTTACTGATTATTATTCTTTACTTATCATTTTTACATAGATAAGTTTATGCATTGAATTTAAATACTTGATTATAATTATCAAGTATATTTGTTACATAATATGCAAGATTTTTTTTTATTGATCCTTGCTATTATGTAATTTTGACCAAATGAAAGATAACATTTCTCATTACTTTACTTATTATATATTGTATAAAGAAACAAAACAAAACAAACAACGCGATAATGCAGGGATTAACTGCTTTTATATTTTTTATCATAAAAAAATTAAGAGGAACAGATAAAAAAGGGATTTTATGTTAAAATACTGAATAATAATTAAGTAATTAAATGTGTAATATAATTTTATGATTATAAATATGAATTATCAAGCTTTTTACGTGGGTAGTAATAATATTAACTGTGCAACATGTTGATAAAGATAGGCACAATTTTTTGTCTATACTTTTGTAAAAAAAAAAAAAAGATAAATTATGAAATACGATGTGTAATTCTTCTAGCAAATTATTCTTGTATTTCTTAAATTATCGTCAATTTGTTTTTTCAAAAAGTTATTCTTTATTGACAGTTATCATTGATGATAAAATGAAGTAGGGAAACTGTAATTTCATTAGAAGATTCCTAGATATTTTCCAAAGGGTTATCATTTGTTCTGTTTTACCGACTTAATTTTATCGACATTTAGTTGACAGTTGATATTATTGACTTTAGATGACGCCACTATTTCTTTTTATATTTATCATGAAGTAGGTGCTGCTGTATAGTGTTAATCATACGAATTAAAAGTTTCTCTTTAAAAAGTTCATTGATTTACTATGCAGAAGATCTACGATAATGTCAATCATAGTTAATTCATAAATGATTAATTGAAAACACGAGATTATAGAATTAATTATTTTTTATTATTTTTATTTTGTATAATAATAACAATTGAATATAGATATCAATCGGTTTGATTTGTGGGATCATTCGAATGTTTTTATAAAAAAAAAAAAGGTGAATATAGAAATCGATATATCCGGGCACGTGTTTTCAGGTAGATCTAATTGGCCCGAAGGGTTTTGAGAGAGCACAAACGTTGGACCATTTCACAGTGTGTGCATCGAAGAACAGCCGTGTGCGCATTACCGCGGCAGATGGTGCTCGTCGTGATTGCAGCTGCTCTCTCAGAAGAAAACACACACCTGCCGTGGCTGGCTGTTCTCTCTCTTTACCAGCCAACTATCGAGATGCACACCGTATCACCACTGTCAGTCTCTTCCTCTCTTCTCCTCTCTCACCTTCTCTTAAATTTCTCTATCATCTTACATTCACCGTATGTTGTTGGTTCAACATCGTTATAAGTAAATATGTATGCTCATTTTTGCGATTTATTTTAACGATTTATATCATATATATATAACCCTTATAGGTCGCTATTAATAAGTTATAAATGGTTTTAGTAAATATGTAATAACATTTAGTTAGTATTATAAGAATAACTTTATTATATATTATATTATAATATATTATATTGTATTATATTTTATTTTATTTTATTATTATAATTTATTACACATATTATATTATATATTATGTTTTATAATTTATTATATATTATATTATATATTATATTGTATAATTATTTATTTTATATTTTTTCTGACCTAGTATTACAATTATATGAAATTATAAATTTAATTATTAATAACACATCATTTTAATTTATATGTCACTTCCCATGTGACTTACGACCTATAAGGGTTAATAACCAAGACTTTGTATGTGTATGTGTAAACTAGAATAGTTTAAATTCGAACACAAATGTATAGATCATCGTTAGATATGGAAACATGGGTTATACTACTACAAATCGATGTCCGGTGGATTTTTACACTCATAGCTAATATCGATTCATAAAACTTCGTAGCCTTCCGGTAATCTCCACGTTGATATCTGTTTTACGATCCGTCTGTGATATAACCACCACCACCATAGTTATAAAGCATCGACACACATACATCGATCGATTCTCCCTTCAATGATTGGGAGAGTCATAAGCGAAAACAAATTTCATTTCGTTCGATTATGATATCTGCAATTAAACTTCTAACTGTAATAATAATAATAATAATAATCTATTATTTATTAATGTTTTTCATAAAATATTATTTTATCGATCATTTCTATAATTAAATTATAATAAATAATTTATTTTCAAAGTAATACAAAATAGAATTTTTGTTTAAAACAAAAAATGAATAAAAAGTAAACTAAAGTGGAACGAAATGAAAAAAAAAGGATAAAAATGAAGGACGAAGTTGGTACAAGGGGGTGTTTGAATTGTTAGGGATAACCCACCCCTTTCGAAAAGACCATAATAAATTGAAGGGTGTATTTGAATATTTTATTTTTTGTATTTTTCAAATAATAAGATATTTTACAAAATATTGATTAATAATAAAATAGGGAGTTTAATAATAATTTAATATAATAAGATAAAATATAAAAATAATTTATTTTGTATTTAAAATGGATAGAGAAAAATATGTTTTACATATGCACACACATACACATACACAAAGTAGATCGTATAAAAGAAATTGCGTTCATATGAAAAAACAAAGAGATGGAAAAGGAAGAAAAATATGCTGCACAGCAGCCATTTAATCGCGAAACATGAATGCCCAGTGCATTGCAAAAAGAGAGAATAAGAGAGAGAGAGAGAGAGAGAGAGAAAGAGAGAGAGAAAGGAAGAGAGTAAGATAGAAAAGGTGAAAAGCCTGATTGAATCCTGAATATGCCATAGATAAAGCAGCTATGTTATGTGTTTTGGTTTGTTTTCTCGAATTTGGTGGAGTATCCCTTTTGATCGGTTACTTTTGCTTATCATAGACCGATCAAAGAGTATCCATTAAAAAAATGAAAATCCAATACTCTTTTTATCCTCTTTATACATTTTCCATTATGTTTTAGCTTTTTTTTTTTTTTTGTAAGATACAATACTTTTGTGCACTTGCATCTTTCTCATATTTTTCGAAATAATTTAGATAAAGATGTTTGAAAATATTTCAAGATGTTACAAATATAATTTCGTGAATATTTATATCTTTAAAATTTAATGTAAATTTTGGGATAAATATTGGAGTACTATGATAAGTAAAATATTCTATTAATTTTAATAATAATTCTTTTTTGAAGAAAAAAGATGACTTATAGAAAAAAATGGCGGGAAAATAGTTATACACCTATTATTATATTATATTATATTTTAAATTGAAACATTATCTAAAATATAACTTTGGCATTATAGCAAGAATTAATAATAATTATTATATATATATATATTTATTATTATAATTTTATTATTTATATTTTATTAAATTAGGTTATAGCTTTGATTTCTCTATTTTTCCACAGATGGCTTATAGAAAAAATGACGGGAACAAAGTTATACATCTATATTATTATATTATATTATATTTTAAAATGAAACATTATCTAAAATATAACTTTGGTATTATAGGAAGAATTGATAATTATTATTAAAAATAATAATTCGTTGTTCGAATATATATAAATGAAAATAATTTGAATACAACATGTATTATATGACGATAAGTAATATGTAAAAGTATTTATAAATTCGTAAATATCATCTACGTCATTTCTATTGAGAAGAATATTATAAATCGTTGGCTATCAGATTTCATGCATCCCCGGGCTTTAATTTTCACACGAGAGATGATCCTTTCGCAGGTGTACATCTCTTTTATCTCGAATACCAGAATATCGATTCTTTTCATCGATTCTATACCGATTATATCGTTTCATTTCAAGCTGCGACGTGTACGAATCGAGAGAGAAGAGAGAGAAAGGGAAAAAGGGAAAGGGAGAGTATGTATTATGCTTACGATGCACCGAACTCTACCGCATCCCGGTACCGTAGAGTACCGGAGCACACCTATATCGTATCGTATCGTATCGTATCGTAACGCGTATACCGTACTGGATCCGTCCGAGCGATGCATTTTAATGAAATATTTCCAGCTGCCGTTTGAAATGTTTGTAAATTATTTACAAAAGGGAATTAAATTCCCTTTTTTAGGTATTAACGTATTCCCATATGATATCTATTGTTCTCTTCTTTAATAATTTACATTTTATATATCTGCAGTGTATTTACTTCATTTTATTCTAATGGAGAGAGAGAGAGAGAGAGAGAGAGAGAAAATAAAAAAAAAATAAAAGAAATTTCACATAAAGAGATAATATGCTATTATTATCAAATACATATATATAGTATACTTCATAATTATAATTTTAATATATAAAATATCCTTTCTTTTCGACAGAAAATATTAAATGAGAGATGTAAAAAAAAAATAAAAATAAAATAAAACATCGATCATAAATGTTCGGTTCGATTAAATTACATGAATAAAAATACAAGTATAATATAAATTAACATTAAAAAAAAAGAGAAACAATAGATAAAACAAATATTTAAAAACAATATATGAAGAAGAATAAGAATAGTAGAGTAAAAGGAAAAACAATGTGAAGTAGGTAGTAAAATAAAAGGCCTACTTGTTAACCGTAATTGTTAGAGAGTTGAAATGAAAAATAGAAAAAGAAGATATACAACTTATGTTCCCTTTAAAAAACGTGAGTTGTGCAAAAAAAAAAAAATAGAAGTAGAAGAAGAAGAAGAAGAAGAAGAAGAAGAAGCTATGGCACGCAACGTAGTCGTTAAAGAAAAGTAAAAAAAAGATGGGTGGGGGTGGATGAGTGGGAAAAGGGTAGAGGATGTACGGAGAGAGAGTGAGTGTAGCAAAAGAGAGAGGGCATATCTACGGGGACGTGGTAGTAGACACTCGCATTTTTTATGGACGAGCACAGACCATCCTCGAGGCTTGGTCGAGGCTCATTTAGTAGAACGTTTTGAATAGGAGAGCCCGCACTTCTCTCTGAGGCTTTTGCTTTATACCTCTCTCTCTCTCTCTCTCTTTCTCTCTTTCTCTCATTTTTTTTCTCATCTCTTCTCTCTTGAAGTACTCTCCCGAGTTTACTCGGACTGAATGCGTCGCTCGTTAGTCCCTTTCCTTCTAAGAACGTCCGGTATCTTCCGTTAGCGTAATACTTTTTACGATTTTTCCATAGCATATCGGTAAGACGATTTTTCTATCTTTTCTTACCCCTCCCTTTACCTCATTCTCCATTTTTTTTTACTTTAGATGATTTTAGGATAAATATTATCGATAGGTATCAAATGACAAACTTAGTTTAATTCTTTTTCGAATATTCAAACGATTCCATTTTTGTTTGAGTTT